TTATTACGGCAGGTGATCGCTCCCCACATCATAACACTGACCCAGCCGAATCTGTCCACCTGGGGAACGCAAGCGTCGGCGAAACGTTCACGTCGACGTCTGTACACCCGCATTCTTCCATTGCGTCGTTCCAATAGAAATCGTGATTCATCACTGAACCAGATTCTACGCCGATTCGGTAGGTTCCAGGCCTGAACGTTGGTGCACCATTGAACTCGATGTCGACAATGTTGTTGTCGAAGCACAGTGCCAAAATAAGGTTTTCTGGCACGTAAACCAGCCTCTCTCAACCTGTTCCTGACGGTCTGTGCAGAAAGCTTCCTCAATCCGGGTATTTGTCGAGCGGTACTGGTCGCCGTAGCTGTTCGATGACGCAGGTGATGTACCCGAGTGTAGCGATCCTGCGCCGCAGTGGTCGCTCGAGGTCGCCCACTACGAGGGGCATCTGCTACCGCATTCTGCCGACGATATCTCTCCCAGAGCCGTGAAATGGTGCAACTGCACGTTGAGACTGGCCAGCTTCAAGCAAACGAACGGCAATATGACGGTTGGCTTCACTTAGACGTGGCATTTTGCGTTCGTCAACAATATTACAAATACAGTGAATAATCGACAGACAGCGATCAACCTTTTATACCCATCATTGAGACTATCTGATCCCCAACTTTCACGTGCATTGCATGTGAATTGTGTATTCTGTGACACTACACGCCGAAATTGAAAATCATGCTGTTAAATACGGGTATTTTACGGAAGGTGCGTAGGACTCATAAACAGAGCAAAACCTTTTGTAAAATGAATCACGTTTTAATTCATTGCTACATGAAACTGCTATTTTCATGATGCGTTTCATTTTTGGGAGAGTATACAATAAATGATTATAAAACCTGACATATTCAAACTATCAGATGGCAACATCACAGAAGCAAAAGAAGCAAATGACGTCAAGATCTAATACAGTTAATAGTCCGGAAAAAGTAAATAGATAACCTGACAATATGTAACTAAGTCAACTGACCTGCAGTAGTGAATAAATCCACTGACGATATGACCTGGAACAGCAAATATGTTAGCGGACCACATGACCCGGAAAACGGAAAGCAGAAACCCGGCAACACGAGCATCTAACGTGAATTAGCGAATCGTTGTACATCCAATGAAGACCAGAACGAGAAAAGAAAATGCATTAGCGATAAGATACACCTCAGACGTTTGACTGATTCACGGTCAGGTGTAAACAGAACCCTATTGAAATGTCAGTGATCAGGTCATCTATTCATATCTCCAACTCAGCCGGTTCAACATTTACACTTTTATGCAAAAAGTATATTAAACATGTTTAAGCTGATGTTTTAGTTAAGGAACACCTATATATTACTTACATTTATCATTGTCGTGATATGTCATTGTGCATTATTACATGTCTACATCGGGCACATATCCATGAAAATACAGAGTGTAAGCACAAATGATGAAACATTTTGAAATCATGGAGAGTGTACCACATCAGAAGTAAAACATTCTTCATAACACGAGACAAAGTTAAGACAAACATCAATAACATGGTAAGACATGTAAACCATAAAGGATCACTCCAATCTACCGGATCGAACTGAAGCAGACCCTGACCAAGTTCATATTGTAAACAGTTAAGTACTAAAACATCTTAAATAAAACTCGGAAACACTTCAGCTTCAAAACATACCTTGGATCTGGACAGAGATGATTCAACAAACTATCACAGCAGCATCAAGTCATCACAGATGTTGGTCATAGAAGAGCAAGTCTTCTAGCTTGAAATTGTGCGAATATGTCATTGTACCACGAAATCACAATATACGTGAATAAGTGCAAGTGAAGACAATCTGCCAGTTAACAGATGCTGACCTGAGGTAAGTCTTAAAGCGTCTCATTGTGCTGAAAGACCACACCCTGTTGCATAGGACACTGGCATTGTCGCCAGGGTTTCACGGCCATATGGATGTGAGGATAAAGATCCTCCTTCGCAAAGTAGAGAGTTGACAGCAGTCAAGATGGCCTTTCTTCAATGGCTATGTCCTGCCAACGGCATTTCCTACATCGGACTTCAACATGTCAATGTCTCAATCTCAATGTCGCTTTGACGCAACATGCCCCCTACGTTTCACCAGTAAGGTTGTGCAGTGAGCTAGGCACTAGGTACTGTGCTTCAAAACGACCATTAGGTACAATTTTTATCAACCTCTGCCCCATTTGCTGAGAGATGTGGTCATGAAGAGGTAACGATTGTTTCAGTCAATTTGGGTTGTTTAACAAAGTAACAATCAATGGACCTGATGGACGTTTTGCAGATTTCTTCCTCATTTCTGCACATAACAAAATATACAATATTTAAGGGGGTAAAACAATTTCAAAGAATTAACGACTTCGGACTGAAGTGTCAGCCTGTTTCCAGACATAACTTATTGCATAGAGTAGACAAAACACGTTTTGTCTATAAATGATCTGCGAAGCAAGTTGCGTTCGGGTACCACGGTATTGTACAAGAAACCACACAGAAAACATGAACACAAATTAAATGTTATATATTTTTTAGCATCTTAAATCACAACATTTTTTCGTCCAATTTTTAAGTATAAGCACGTGCTTTTTGTGCTACGCTGTAGCTACGCCACTGTACATGACAAGTTCGAATAGGTACAGTTCATACATTCTCACAATAACACAACGTAACATGAGTGGGTGCAGCATAACATGGGCATTTATTATGAATATAATCGTGTTATTATGACGGTTACACTTACCAGGATATCACAGATGTGAAAATCTCCACAGCACTATCTGGACGTCCTTGTCAACAACTACGATCTCATTAAACCGAAAGTAGAAACACAACCTTGGCTTTTTGCCAGCGAGAAAGCCCACCTGTAAAAACAAATGGCGGGCTAGCATAGCTCCGTCACTCGACATATATATGGCCTATGCACCATACAGTGCATATTTATTTATAGATTTATAGATATCTGTACTGATATATTACATGGGCCAGGCACGTTGGGTGCCGTCGTTTAGACTTCTATTAGACGTTTAATATGCACAACACATGCACGTGTTGCACATCGACGTGAATTGGTGACCTGCCTTTAACAGGTTCGACGCCGGGGCCCTTGGAAGTCGGAGTTATCCCGTTTTACGACAGCTTTTCAATCTGCGTGTACATTTCATGTTTCGTACGTCGACCACAGGGTTATGTGTTTACTATGGACGAAAAGGCACGTGTCCTAGCTTTCACGTAATTTCTGACATATTTGGATGATGACAGGTTTTCCTACCTTAAAAACCACCCGAAGGCAAGTCCCATGCGTGTGACGGGGACCAAAACAGCTCAGATTTGATAACAAACATGTTTGATAAGTGACATCCCGTTTTGCCCCATTTGTCTCATACAGGGAGAAAGATATATATGCAGGCATATCATATTAAAAATGATGCCATGTGCATGAAGTATCTAAGGTTGTCACGGGGTCGACGTGGGGCTCCTGGCTGGTTGACCACGTGTGTGTGGAGCGTGGTGCTTGGGCATTGGAGTGTGGAGCGTGGGGAGAGGTGTATGGAATGTGGTGTGTGAGCCTTGAGCGTGGAGATAGGTGTCTGGAGCATGGTGATTAGTGTGTGGTGACTGGTGTGAGGTGTGAAAAGTGTGGGGATTGGTGTGTGGAGCGTGGTGATTAGTGTGTGGTGACTGGTGTGTGGGGTGTAAAGCGTGGGGATAGGTGTGTGGAGCATGGTTATTAGTGTGTGGTGACTGGTGTGTGGAGCGTGGAGATAGGTGTGGTGAGGTGTTGGGGGAGGGAGGGGGGGGGGTGAAAACAGTGGATGGGCGGTCGGGAGGATGGAAGGATAGACGGATCCATAAGCGAGCAGAGGTAGTAACCAATAGTTGGATACGGGAGTGGATGGGAGGATGCATAGGTGGAGGATAGCTTGTGTGGAAATGTGATTGGATGGCTTCGGAACCTCCTGGCCTTTCAGACTGGTTAGGTCGTTTACAGTCCATGAATGTGAGAATCATGACCGTCCACTGACAGAGGTAACTATGCCACATGCATTAGACTCAGGGCACTTGAAGTTTTATTATAGATTCACGAGACGACACAATATATATACGAACACAATTTGCACAACAACAACAACAACAACAACAACAAAATAGATGCCAGTCTCATCCAGACTGGTTTATCAACAACAGACTGTTGTGATATAGCCGCAATATTGCTGACTGTCGCTCCCAAGAACACTGATTCTATCGAAGTCACACTGAAAGGTTGTATGCATAACCCTAGTATTAGAATACCACTTGTGATTTATCCAAAATGTGTCAGCATTTTGCACTTAAGGTTCCACCTTCTGACTAATATGGATGCCTGGACAATGAAAGGTTGTGCAGAGATTTGTGTAAATCTTGAAAGCTATCCCTAACTGAATCTTTCCTTTCCTTCAGGAAGCAGTTACAACAAAACCCGTGAGTGTACAATTTTACTTCCAATTGGTTGTTAAGAAGTCTCTCCAAATGAACGTATTTCAATAGTTATGTCAACACCAGACGTGAGTATATACCCAGTTGTTCTTTCCAGATGGTTTGTTACCACGTTACATCAAATGGAACATAATCATTAATGATAAACTATGACTCCTTATGTAATCATATCATGTTTGCTGTAAAGATCAGATAAGTCACAGTGGTTCTGGCATATTTGACATAAATGCAATGGAAATGTAACATCTTTCATATGACTTGGAAAAGCTGACCCAAGTCCCTGTGGAGTTATAAAAATCAATATGAACATTTACAACAATCAATTAGTAGATTGGTAAGTGATGGAAGCGCGGTGGGTGGATCGATTGGTGGATGAAGGGTGAACAATTGAATGGATGATAGATGTGCAGATGATGGATGGACTGATGGATGGGTCGATGGATAGATTGTGAGTAGAGGATTGGACGAATAAGCGGAAGGAGGAATGAAGGATGGATGGTGAGTGGATGGATGAGAGGGTTTGGTATAGGCCGATGAAGGACTAAAGGACTAGATGATCGAAAAGCACACGGATGGGCGGGTGAGTGGTCGACGGGCGGATTGAATTGAGAAATGGACTGACTGACTGACTGAGTTTAGTTTTACGCCGGTTTTAGCAATATTCCAGCAATATCACGGCGGGGGACACCAGAAATGGGCTTAACACATTGTGCCCATGTGGGGAATCGAACCCGGGTCTTCGGCGTGACGAGCCAACGCTTTAACCACTAGGCTACCCCACCGCCCCTTGAGAAATGGAATAGTGGATGAATGATGGCTGATGGATGAATGAACAAATGGGCGGAGCATGGATGATTGATGGGTGGATGGATGACGTAATCAATGGATGGGTGGCCGGATTGGTGGTAAGTGGAAGATGGACACGATGATGGATGGATGTGTGGAATGATGGGTGGAAGAGTGGATGGTTGACGAATGATGAAGTCATATGTCCTGAAATACTGGGTTGGGATAGTCAAGCTATGTTATATCTTAGAGGGAGTGATTGAATATGGATATACTCAGGTTTTAGTTCCCTCAATATCACGGCGGTGAACACCAGTAATCTTCAACTTACAGTGTACCCATCAAGTAAACGAAGCTGAGACCAAGTCAGCCGTTAGACAATTGGTAGAATGAATGTGATTTACAACATGCCAAGATTGTGATTCGAAACAAGGCCATTTTCGTGTATATGTGTATCTATCTGTATATATATGTTTGATGTTGTGTCAGGGGAGTACAACGCCCTACAACGTAAGTACATTTCCAATATGTTGTAGAGTTCACTGTTCTAGGTAGAAAGTGTGGGTGGGAGGATGATGGGCGGGCATAGATGTGAATGTCTGGCTTCACAACCTTTCAGCTTTTCAGGCTGGTTAGAGAGTGTACAATCCATATTACATTTACCGACATTCTTCAGACACAGCAAGCGTGAGGTCTTGGTAAAGATTCACAAGATGTCACAAAATATAGACCAGCATAATTATAAACAAATAGTGTGTTATATAAAGGACGAGAAAAAAGATAAATTTATGAAACTGCTTTACACATTTCAAGGCACGGCCAGCGCTGTGACGTCATCGACCATCGGGATTGTTCTCTGCGTTGGGGGCGTAGCCAAGTGCTGTAGACCGTCCTTCTTCAGGAAGTCCAAGGAAAATACACATCACAAAATGAGGAAGTGTATAAATGTCATTTCGCTTCTGAATTTTTCTAAGTGCCATTCTATATTTTAACTAAGTTCTTTGTGTTGGTTAATAACGCGATTTATCACGTTTCGCTTATTCGTTAAGCAAGAAAATGGTTATACACTGTGTATTTAGATATTTTTCAAATCTAGATATTGAAACCGTCGAGATGGACACGGGTTGTTTAGGTTATTCTAAGACATACTAGGATCTAGGATCCTGGGTTCGAATCCCTATTAAGTATCCCTGTTTTGTCAGTATCACACCTGGTAAACCCATCACCCCGAGCTAATCTGTCATATTGAGACAAGATGTTGAGATGTAAGTCTCATACGAAACACATATAAACTTGCAATGCCATGTTATGTGGTCAATGTCAAATAATATCGCTTCTTGTGTGGAAGTGATTGAGCCGGTGATGACGGGAGTAAGGGTTGGGCTGGTGTTACTGGGAGTAAGGGATGGACCAGTGATGCTCGCAGTAAGGACTGGACCGGTGATGCTGGAAGTAAGGGTTGGGCTGGTGTTACTGGGAGTAAGGGATGGACCGGTGATGCTCGCAGTAAGGACTGGACCGGTGATGCTGGTAGTAAGGACTGGACCAGTGAAGTTGACAGTAAGAATTGGACCTGTGATGCTGGCAGGAAGGACTGGACCGGTGATGACGGGAGTAAGGGTTGGGATGGTCTTACTGGGAGTAAGGGCTGGAACGGTGTTGCTGGCAGTAAGGACTGGACCGGTGATGACGGAAGTAAGGGTTGGGCTGGTGTTACTGGCAGTAAGGGGTTGCACCGGTAATGCTCGCAGTGAGGACTCGACCGGTGATGCTCGTAGTAAGGACTCGACCAGTGACGCTGGCAGTAAGAATTGGATCGGTGATGCTGGCAGTAAGGGTTGGACTGGTGAAGCTCGCAGTAAGGACTGGAACGGTGATGACGGGAGTAAGGGTTGGGCTGGTGTTACTGGGAGTAAGGGTTGGACCGGTGATGCTGGCAGTTAGGACTAGACCGCTGATGCTGGCAGTAAGGGTTGGATCGGTGATGCTGGCAGTAAGGACTGGACTGGGGTGATGACGGGAATAACGGTTGGGCTGGTCTTACTGGGAGTAAGAGCTTGACCGGTGATGCTGGCAGGAAGGACTGGACCGGTGATGAGGGGAGTAAGAATTGGACCGGTGATGCTTGCAGTAAGGGCTGGACCAGTGATGCTGGCAGTAAGGACTGGACCGGAGATGACGGGAGTAAGGGTTTGGCTGGTGTTACTGGCAGTAAGGGTTGGGCAGCTGATGCTGGCAGTAAGGGTTGGACTGGTAATGCTGGCAGTAAGGGTTGGGCTGGTGATGCTGGCAGTAAGGACTGGACTGGTTATGCTGGCAGTAAGGGTTGGACCGGTGATGCTGGCAGTAAGGATGGACCGGTGATGCTGAAAGTAAGGGTTGGGCTGGTGATGCTGGCAGTAAGGACTGGACCGGTGATGCTAGCAGTAAGGGTTGGGTTGGTGTTACTGGGAGTAAGGGTTGGACCGGTGATGCTGGCAGTAAGGGTTGGGCTGGTGTTTCTAGGAGTAAGGGTTGGACCGGTGATGCTGGCAGTAAGGACTGGACTGGTTATGCAGACAGTAAGGGTTGGGCCGATGATGCTGGCAGTAAGGACTGGACCGGTGATGCTGGAAGTAAGGGTTGGGCTGGTGAGGCTGGAAATAAGGGTTAGGCTGGTGATGCTAGCAGTAAGGGTTGGGTTGGTGTTACTGGGAGTAAGGGTTGGACCGGTGATGCTGGCAGTAAGGGTTGGGTTGGTGTTACTGGGAGTAAGGGTTGGACCGGTGATGCTGGCAGTAAGGACTGGAACGGTGATGACGGAAGTAAGGGTTGGGCTGGTCTTACTGGGAGTAATAGCTTGACAGGTGATGCTGGCAGGAAGGACTGGACCGGTGATGACGGGAGTAAGAATTGGACCGGTGATGCTGGCAGTAAAGGCTGGACCAGTGATGCTGGAAGTAAGGACTGGACCGGAGATGACGGGAGTAGGGGTTGGGATGGTGTTACTGGCAGTAAGGGTCGGGCTGGTGATGCTGGCAGTAAGGGTTGGGCTGGTGATGCTGGCAGTAAGGACTGGACCGGTGATGCTGGAAATAAGGGTTGGGCTGATGATGCTGTCAGTAAGGGTTGGGCTGGTTTTACTGGGAGTGAGGGTTGGACTGCTGATGCTGGCACCATGGGTTGGTCTGGTGTTACTGGGAGTAAGGGTTGGACCGGTGATGCTGGCAGTAAGGACTGGACCGGTTATGCTATGGCAGTAAGGGTTGGGCCGGTGATGCTGGCAGTAAGGACTGGACCGGTGATTCTGGAAGTAAGGGTTGGGCAGCTGATGCTAGCAGTAAGCACTGGACCAGTGATATTGGAAGTAAGGGTTGGGCTGGTGATGCTGGCAGTAATGACTGGACCGGTGATGCTGGCAGTAAGGGTTGGGCTGGTGATGCTGGCAGTAAGGGGTTGGACTGGTGATGCTGGCAGCAAGGGTTGGTCTGGTGTTACTGGGAGTAAGGGTTGGACCGGTGATGCTGGAAATAAGGGTTGGGCTGGTGATGCTGGCAGCAAGGGTTGGGCTGGTGTTACTGGGAGTAAGGGGTTGGACCGATGATGCTGGCAGTAAGGACTGGAACGGTGATGACGGGAGTAAGGGTTGGGCTGATCTTACTGGGAGTAAGAGCTTGACAGGTGATGCTGGCAGGAAGGACTGGACCGGTGATGACGGGAGTAAGAATTGGACCGGTTATGCTGGCAGTAAGGGTTGGACCGGTGATGCTGGCAGTAAGCACTGGACCGGTGATGCTGGAAGTAAGGGCTGGGCAGGTGATGCTAACAGTAAGGACTGGACCAGTGATGCTGGAAGTAAGGGTTGGACCGGTGATGCTGGCAGTAAGGGATGGGCCGGTGATGCCGGAAATAAAGGTTGGGCTGGTGATGCTGGCAGTAAGGGATGGGCTGGTGATGCCGGAAATAAGGGATGGGCTGGTGATGCTGGCAGTAAGGGTTGGGTTGGTGTTACTGGGAGTAAGGACTGGACCGGTGATGCTGGCAGTAAGAGTTTGGCTGGTGTTATTAGGACAAAGGGTTGGACTGGTGATGCTGGCAGTAAGGACTGGACCGGTTATGCTGGGAGTATAATTGGCCCGGAAATGCTTGGAGTACAGATTGGACCAGAGATGCTGGCAGTACAGATTGGACCGACTATGCTGTCAGTAAGGATTGGGCCGATGATGCTAGCAGTAGGGGAGACTGCACCGCTGCCGCTGAATTAAATTACAGATATTGCCCCACTCATTTCTACTCGAGATGATCTCCTTGCGCGATGTTAAGAAGATTTTACTGCCGCTGCGTAGAATGAAGTTATGGGTGAGTGAGTGAGTTTAGTTTTACGTCGTACTCAGCAATATTCCAGCTATATGGCGGCGGTCTGTAAATAATCGAGTCAACAACACCAGACAATCCAGTGATCAACAACATGATCATCGATCTGCGCAATTGGGAACCGGTGACATGTGTCAACCAAGTCAGCGTGCCTGACCACCCAATCCGTTAGTCGCCTCTTACGACAATCACGGGTTACTGAAGGTTCATTCTAACCCCGACCTTCACGGGTAGCTTCCGTCATGAATACAATTTTTGGGGGTTTGCCTCAGTCCTTACGATAATATCTGATAGTTCACTGGTTAACCAGTTCATGTGGCATTGCAAAGCTCTGACAGAAGGGTGGTCCATGGCTGTCATTCAAAGCAGTGGCCATGGAATAGCTTCGTTGTTTTAAGTGCTCGCTCGTTACGGCAAAATATTTGATTCCCTGGTGGGTACAATTGCCATGTGTGTGGAAACTTGTCCACGTCAACAAACTTGTAATTGGATACCTTTTTGTATTCCTCTTTGACTGATTGAGTTTGGTTTTACGCCGCTTTTAGCAATATTCCAGCAACATCACGGCGGGGACACCAGAAATGAGCTTCACACATTGTACCCATGTGGGGATTCGAACCCGGGTCTTCGGCGTGACGAGCCAACGCTTTAACCATTAGGCTACCCCACCGCCCTGTATTCCTCTTTGATACACATTGCATTGTGACGATACACAAGATGTATGGCATGTGAATCGAAATATGCATAACAGTTTCTTTAAGCGAATACCACTGCATAGTAATTGACGTATGCATGTTACAACATGGCGGAAGTGCGTAATAATCACATTTCCTTAATTTATTCAAACATTTTCGCACTGACATGTGAACGTCGTAATGTTTTCTTGTGGAAGGACATGGCATCAATGTAAGGTTAACATCTTATTCTCATCACACAAACACAAACACACACATACACACATCAGTGTTATGTGTACAATATTCCCTCACTGACGCCCAGGTAGTTCTCTCTTCATAATACAGTTGTTTACGGTAAAGAATGTAAAGCTCACAAGTGCCATTGGTTGAAGTAAATATTTATGCACATAAAATAAGCGCAAGGGAAAGTAAACATTGAACGAAAATGTGAGAGTTAAATTACAGATAGACATATAATACATGTATATACATTCGAGAGGGCAGTGTTTAATTCTTTCTAAGGTGGGAAAACCACCACATACAACAGAATTGTCTTACTGACATTACAGCAAGGGTATTTGCGATGAATATCAGTTTTGTCAATTGATATAAGTTTTAAAAATTAATAAAATATTATCATGATATGTTTCATAAAATATATATGCTTCAATGAACACACTGATATTTGTGCCCCCATAAGAGATATATCTTGGTTGAAATCAAACTATATCTCCTTGAGATTATACTAGCAGGGTCGTTATTTATAGATGTATATTTTGCGAAACAAAAATCCTAATAACCTGTAAAACTTCACTTTGAAAATTCTAATTCAGAGCGGTGTCTTGGACAAACTGCGTGACATCTCTCCGGGTCGATCCTCTTTTTGTGGTCGATCTAGATATGTTACATCGCGATCCTGCCTGTCCTCTATTCCAGGTCGATCCTTTATCACTACAATTCGTACAGTCGGTTGCATCTCTCAGCAAATTCCACATACGAGTTTTGGTATCTCCTTTTGAGTTTTCTGAAAAATTGCCACACAATCCATATTAGTAAATAGCATAACAATACAGTATAAAGTGTCTTTAGATATCTAATGCTGAAAAGAAGAGGGGAGACACAGGGACCACGTTCACCTTGCTCCATGAAACTAACGATGTTGCAGCAAAGTCGTCACACAGGTACAGTTAACAAGTGACAGAACTCCCAGAAATCATGGAGAATTTGTCCGTTCGTTGTAAGTACTCGACATGGTTACAAATCACAGATAATAATGACATAAAATATATACATATGGCAGACAACAAATACTAGTGAGAGAAAATGTCTCCTACTTTGATTAAATTAAATCTAGGACTCGTACGTTATTATTAATAATAACATATAGCTCAATAATTTCTGAGAATGCTGTTTATAATGGGAAATTCAAGCAGATCACTCTCAATTATTTATGTCCAAGTTTGGCATTTCTGCGCTTAGAGAATGGCGAGTTTTAACTGAGAATCTGTGCTTAAGTTGTGGTCTATCAAAAAGATGGCTGATTGTTTGTGGTCCGCCCGGAAGTTGAGATTGTCTCCCTCCCAAAACATGAAAGTAGGGCTCTCTCGGAACTTATTTCACTCGTAATCCAACAGAAAATAACGCAATGAGGCACATGTTGACCCTCTTAACAATTTCATTGTATATTTAGAGACTACCAATGTTCATCCTCCGATGATTCCACCATGAGAAAGACAAGCATGTTCCCATTTCCTCTGTATTTCCTGCAGAGTATTTGGTTTTATAATTTGGTATAAAATATATTTTCATATGAGATTCAAATTCGAGTTGTTGGCGTACCTGACATTGTATACAGCGCCACCGATGACGACGGCAACGATGACGAGTATTACTGCACCAGCGGCGACAAATATCAGCCAACCTGTAAATGTCATTCATCTTTTAATCTTACACCCATGAAACACAAATACACTATAATTTGTGTAATAATATTTATGTAATTAACATATTTCATTGAAGGCTTCTGAAGGACAGAACAAGTTTACTTGCGTACTTGAAGATCGACTGATGTCCAGTAGAGGGTACCAAACCCGTTGGAGATTAAAATGGTCTGGAAGGTTGGGGCTTCCACGGAGACGCTCACGTCTATTTTCATTGTATTTCTTTCATTCGTGTTTTTAAACACCGATCGATTGGTCTGTTGTGCCATTTGGTCAAGCGACAATTTAGAAATTCTATCTTAACTGAAGTTAGGCTGAGAGGGTTCTGTGAATGTTTCACGCTAATCTTTGACGATAATCACTTGAGTCAAGTTTGCAGTGATGTCTTTCCTTATCTACGCTAAAATATCTACCGAGAGTTGAGTTTACGTCGCTTTTAGCATTATTCCAGCAAATATCACGGCGGGGGACACCAGAAATGGCCTTCACAAGGAGTACCCATGTGGGAAATCGAACCAGGGTCTTTGGCGTGACGAGTGAACGCTTTAACCACTAGGCTACCCCATCGCGCTTCGCTCAATTATAGATTTATGTTTTTGATACCTTTACCTGTTTTACACGTGGGTCCTGTCCATCCAAACTTGCATCCCCGTGGGCAGTGACCTGTTCCGATATTACAGGGATCATCCTCGGCACACAGGCCACACGGTGTACATGCACCATACGTGTTGTTCGGACACTCTGTAGCGGTTAGATCATGATATACTATCGTTCTATCAACTGGTCATACATAACCGTCGAAAGCTATTTATCAAATAAGGGAAATCATATAATTTGCCTTGTTTTTGAGAAAATCATATCGTTTACATACTGAAAGGCAAAAAACCGAAGTGCAGTCCAATAAATAGTTTATAACAATTTCAGAAGACAATATGGAACTGATACATGCATGCATGTTAACAGTTGCAAAGATCGCTTGGTTGACAAATGTTGGGATAGTGTTGTAACATTCACGGAGACTTGGATCAGGCATCAAGGTCACGAGGTCACAAAAGTCAGTTCCGTGTATGACCGCCATTTGCATTTACCACTCCAGTAGAACGCCTGTACTTGAAATGCCCCTAATTGTTGGTAAAGTTCAGTGGAATGTTGGTAACTGCCTGTAGCCCTGCTGCTCAAGGTTTAACAGCATTTGTTGGCCTTGGACGAACTTGGTTCAGTCGTCTTTGAGTTGTCCCACAAATGTTCAATTACGTTTAAGTCGGGACTATGGATGGCCAGGGCAGAACAGCAATGTTGTGATGTTGCAGATGTTGTTGTGTTACCTTTGCGGTCTCGCATTATCATGCTGGTAAATGTGGTTCTGATGTCGGGCAAAAGATGGCACAACATGGGGTTGGAGAGCCTGATCAATGTACCGCTGAGCATTCACACCATTCCCCCTCCCAGGATCAATATTCTGAAACTGGCCCTAGTCTCAGGTTGTAGCCAATACCTGCCCATACCATTACATTCGGGCTGCCCCAAGCGTTCCTTTCCATCACACACTTGATCAGTATAACGTTGACCTCGTCTTCGCCATATCCTGACACGTCCGGCCGTCAGAATGGGAAAAGACAAAATCGACTCGTCTGAGAAGATCACACGGTTCCACTGTCTGTGACGCCAGTTCAGATGCTGTGTTGCCCAAGCGTCGAAGACGTACCTGACGGTGACATGGGGGTCAGGAATAGACCGAAAAGCATGGCGGCGACATTTCATGTTGATTGACCCCTAGCAGTCGACGTCGCCACGGTACGGCCACTAATGGTTGTTGGTGAGGCTCCAATGTCCCTTTGGGTTGTTTTACTGGCACAGATAAATGAATCTGCCTGATGTCGACGACAGATGAACCGGTCTTAATGTCTGGGCGTAGAATTCACGTTTCAGCCTACCACTTCTCCATTCGGTCAGCTGTGGTCTGCGTGGTTGCATAACGAGAAGTTTAAGGCGATAAATGGTCGTAACATGGACGTTAAAAGTACGGGCAACGTCAGCCGCGCTTTTGTACCTGCATCATTCAGTCTACCAATAAGCTTGATCCCTTTGACATTCATGTAATCTTAGCATCAGCTATCGAATAGTGACGAGACCAACAATCTTCACCATTTTACAGCCATTTCGGTCAACAGATGGACGTGCATGTTCATTTCACGCTTTGATAATTTCGAATTCCTCGGTACCATGGTGTTTTTAGCGATATGTTTTTAAAATGACTAAGTAATGCCTTAAAATGAGGCAATAATGGAACAATTCACAAAATTAAACGTTTAAGCCCTCGGAAATGTATTCGCAATTTTTATTTTTCATACTAAATATCTCAGACTGAATTCCTACAAAAATTGCGTTTCTTTTGCCTTTCAGTATACGATCAGCAAATGATTTCAGGGCTTCCACCACCCATAAGAAAATATTGATAATTTTTCTTAACATAAACCTTAAATGATTAAATTTGTTGTTAATGAAGTATAATTATAATCAAATAGTATGAAACAGTTTTGACTTTTCATTTCACATTTTAGACTTACCTAGAAGTTCTCTTGCTTGTTTTTTTATGTTTATAAGCTGATCAGTATATTTTACAACTTTCTATTGGCATTGACTGTCATGTATTTTTATAACAATGCAAACTGTCTGGAATACAAGATCTTGGCATTTTAGTTGGTTTCGATTCTTGATTTGAATACAATAACAGCTGATTAATCATGCTCCTTCTGAATTCATTCATGTAGTCTTTAAGGATTTAGTCTGAGATTTAATCTGTGTTAACTCGAAAATACACGACAAGCCGCTCGTGTCTATTCATGAGTGAGGTTGGTGTTGATTTGTCTGCCAGTTAAAGGACAAAGTGTCAGCTTGAATTGGAAGGAAAACAGTTTTGCCTTATGACAGTTATCTAGTAGCTGAACGCTCTCTGACAGAACAGAGACCGAGAAGATCCAGGTTAGAATTTGTCTTCAGCAACCCGTGATTGTCGTAAGAGGCGACTAAAGGGATCGGGTGGTCAAACTCACTTACTTGGTTGACACATGTCCTCGTATCCCAATTACGTAGATCGATGCTCATGCTGTTGATCGCTTGATTGTCTGGTCTAGACTCGATTATTTACAAACTTACCTACAAATCTTACCTAAAGTGCAGTTGTCTCCCCTCCATCCGGGTATGCATCCAATAGGACATCGTCCGGTCACGTGATCGCAAGTACTTTCTCTTTTGCAATTGAAACACGTTGACTGACACTTCACTCCAAATGTGCCAGCGTTACAACCTATAAGGAACGATTTGAAAGCTATTAGTTTACATGTGGAACACGTGATCTAAGCTGGGAGTATGACACCTTAGCGGGGGGATGAATTCTGTTTATATCAACAATTTTATATTGATATAAAGTTTCAATACTTGTAGTCATTGAAGGCATTACAAAAGGAACTAATCATCGTTGACATTAGCAATGCTTCTTGTAATGAAACTTGTTCAACTAAAGAACATTGAAGTGTGGAATGACTTTCTTTCAAAGGATATTTCCATAGGTGGAAAGCCTTCATATATATATAGATGCGTCCCCTTTGTGTAGAAGTGGATTCGAATCTCCGATTGGCCCTCATTATGTTTCCAGGTTTGAGCACCGTGTTTATCTGACGCCGGCACCACGCCTGCAACATCAACCTGACAAGCCCTGGTGTATCTTTAAAACAGTTAGAGGCAGCGTTAAACCACAATTTCTCATTTTTTGTCAGCGTGGGTGTAAGAATGCAACCATGTTTCCTCTCACCTTCTCGGCACTTGGGCATCCTGTAGCCTGGGGCACAACCTCTGAGACAAACACCAGTGGTCGTCTCACAGAACCCATTCTCACAGTGACCGCACGTCTCGCACCTGGTTCCATACTGGCCACTCGGACAGGTCACTAACAGAGACATGCAGCAGTATCAATCATACTGGGTGAGTGAGTGAGTGAGTAGAGTGAGTGAGTGAGTTTTTACACCGCTTTTAGCAATATTTAAACAACATTACGGCGGGTGACACCAGCAATAGTCTTCAGCATGACGAGCGGACGTTCTAACCATTAGAATTCCCATCGCCACATCAATCGTACAAGAAGCCTCAGGTTTAGATACTATAAGCCGAGTGTTTACGTGATGGAAATATCACACATTCAGAATATCAATAGTACTGACTAAACAGTTAAGGGTTTTTTATTTTTCTTTGTGTGTCATAAGAAAAATAATCGAGACTGAAGGAACATTCAGCTTTCGAATCTTATTGCATGCGCTGCCGTAAAAAGTCCTTCTCCACGTTATCTAACTGGCATACACCTGACATTTGGGTATAACATGGTTTTATGTGCTTAGCTTAAGTCATGGATAGATGTTGTAGGTATTTGATAAAACGCTCAGTCAAACAGCCTGTTTTGTTATGCATTACCATATGATTTGTTGACATCTAAATGGACATCACATCGGTGTTAACGTTGTAAAACATTGTAAACCAAAGGTTCTCACAGGCATGCTAGAAGCGTTCACAGTTAACACTTTACCAAATGCATAACATATTACACCCGAGCTACATTTAAAGACCCGAGTTTACAATTGCAGCTTGATAATTGTACCTGACTTGTTTGTGTTCGGTGAGAAGACGTGAATACCGATAGGTTTGTGAAAGAGTTGCGACGTCAGTGGGGCCATGTGTTGTCCGTTCTCTGACACGACATGGATGATCCTGAAAATGTTCACATATTAATGATATACATAAAGATGCCAGCCTTGAATAACCAGTTTAAAGACATTGAGGAAGGTAATGCTAGAACATCAAAGTGAAAACAAATTTCAGTCTCTTGTGAACTAATAAACAGTAAAATCAGAAATCCTACTGAGCTCACTGAGCTCAAATTTCAGAAAGTGTTCAAAATTAGGTATGGTCTGTTATCGTGACCGTAGATTGTTAATCAATATGCTAACTGCATCAGTATATACCTTGATCTCAGTACATGAAATTCCCAGTTAGACATTTTGGGTTTCCAAGGCATATACCAGTGTGCCCCTTGCTGGAGACATTTGGCATCATTGTACATGATCAGAAGTTAAAAGCTGAATAAAAAGGAAATTCTTAATTGCAAATTACTGCAATAATAATCACAGATGACTGCGACAATTATGCATTCACAGATGACATCGCACCCGTACATATGACCGAGAGGTATTGACGAGTTAGGTGCAGCAGACATACAATTTCCGATCCCGTTATGATATTCAAACCCCAGACCTTCCGATCCGCGATCGGACGCCTTGTCCACATAACCAAAGAACATAACCCTAAAGAAGAGAGGTTAAGGACGTTATCCACGGATGTCTCCACGCCTTGCCACACAGGACGTTGTTACTGAGTATTCTTACTTTTCTTGTAGTGCCGTGTAGTAGAGAAGTCCATTGAATACGGTAACGTCTAACATTGGTGTATCAGTAACGACGTTCCTCCTCCCAGAACCATCCAGTAGAACCGAGTCTATGAAACCATTGCCACACCAGAACAGTCGACCAGCTGTTGATGACAGAAATACGGGGGTAACGGAGAACTATGTAGTGTTGTTTGTTATATGTCGCCAGCATTTGTGGTTGCAGCCAGTAAATAATCGTGTGGCCGAACTAGTCTCGTGATTGATATTATGAGCAACTATCGCTCAGATGACAGAGTCACTTATGATGTCTCCATGTGCTACAAGGTAACGTTGCTGAGGAGTTGCTATTCCGGATTTGAGAAAGTGAGTGAGTATGATTTGATGCTGCTATTAGCATGAGTCCAGAAATATCAGACTAGGAAACACAGGAAATAGGGTTTAACACAATAGACTTAGGAAATCAAAACCCTGGTTTCGGTCAGACGAGCGAATGTTTTAACCACTCAGCTACCCTACCGGCTGTCCTGGCTGGAGTGAGTGAGTGAATAAGTGAGTTATCATTTAACGTCACATCGGTAATATTGCAGCCATATCGTGACGAAAACATATTGTCCTGGCTGGAATAAAAAGTGGTGAATAGTAGGGATTGTATCAGAATTGAACAGTTTGTATTTATTAAAAGATACGTCAGCTATATCAGTGTTGGAGTGAGTTTAACGCCGCTTTAAACAGTATTCCAGTTTTATGAGGGCGTGCCAGTTTGACAAAAAACTGGGTTACCCGTGCCCCAATGTTTGGTGGAGTCGAAGGTGATATCGATTGTAGAATGGGCACGGGGATGGTTGTCAAACAACCCGGTATGATAATTTGGGATTCGAACTAGCTGATCCAATTATGCTGACTCGCCTTAACATTGGATTAGCTTTGGGAGAGTGATCTACTTTGTAGTGGTAACTTGGACATTTTGGATTCGAACCCACGACAAGTGGATCCTGGAACACAACTCCACACATCTAGCATGCCTCGCATCACTGTGCCACCAGAGCTCCTACACGACGCGCAGACTTAGGTGATTGACCAACCAATACTTGTCGTAATAGGTGACTAACGGGATCGGGTGGTCAGACTCGCTGACTTGGTTGACATGTTATCGTATCCCAATTGCGTAGATCGATGCTCATGATGTCGATCATTGGCGCGTCTTGAAAAGACTCGATTACTTTCAGACGGCTGCCATATAACAGGAATTGGGCTGAGTGCGGCGTTGAACAACCGACCAACTAGCCTTTGTTGTGATATTTTGTGTGACCCCGTCGATGTAACATAATGGATGTTTTGGATTCGAACTCATGATAAGCGGATCCTGGAACGCAACCCCATACTCGCATCGCTGTGCCACCAGAGCTCCTTCACGACACGCATACTAACTAGACTGACGCTATGTCACGAGAGTCGTGGACAAGGAAGAGGAAGTGGCCACTGTAAAACTACTTGAGTCTATATCATATTTAGCTGCTTGTTGGGTGTATTTCTCATTGTTCCTCGAGTGGACAAAATTATATATAGCCCACTAGGACGCCACTTGACAACTACGAGGAATGTCAGTGTTTTAAAACTGAACTTGATGTTTTGCGTTATTATGCGCCTTGGTTTGTCTACATTGATGGCACCTACCTTTCTCATCTATGGATATTCCGCTTGGTACAGAGAGTCCTGATGTTACAACTGACTGCCGACTTCCACCGCTATAGTTACACGTCTCGATCTTTTCCTCCTTGCCCAGGTCCGTCCAGTAGATGTTTCTGTATATAAGCAGATATTGTTAAATATGACACACCGTATTTTTGTAATGCTAACTGTATGCTTTTTTCGTGATTCTTGTTTAGCTTCCTCGGGCAATATTGCAGCTTTGTGACGATTGTCTATAAATAGTCCTTGACCGGTGATTAATATCATGAGCATCAACCTACGCTACTGGGGTACGATGACACGAGTCTGGATCAGACAGACCAGTGACTGACATGATCAACATCAATCTACGCTACTGGGGTACGATGACACGAGTCTGGATCAGACTAATCCGTGACTGACATTATGAGCATCAATCTACGCTATTGGGGTACGATGACACAAGTCTGGATCAGACAAACCAGTGACTGACATCATGAGCACCAATCTACGCATCTGGGGTACGATGACCGAGTCTGGATCAGACAAACCAGTGACTGACATCATGAGCATCATCCCACACTACTGGGGTACGATGACCCGAGTCTGGATCAGACAAACTAGTGACTAACATCATGAGCATCAATCCATGAAGTTGGGGTACGATGAAATGCAGTCAGTTAAGCCGCCGCGCCTGATCAGACATCCACTGTATCAAGCTATTAATTCTAAAGAGTGGTGGTGTAGCCTAGTGGTAAAACCTTTGGTTCGTCACGTCGATTCCCCACATGAGTACAATGTGTGAAGCCCATTTCCGATGTCCCCTGCCGTGATATTGCTGGAATATTGCTAAAAGTGGCGTAAAACCATACTCATTCAGTAACCCACTTAGTCACTCACTCACTCTCAAGTCAAACGTGGCGATGAATTCTAGATGACATACTTGTATGCTGTATCTGCTACGATCCCCCGTGGTTGTTCCATGTGTGTGTATACTATCACTGTAGACTCCAGACTGTCCATGTCCATCCGGCCGATGATTTTACTTCCTTCATCAGTGTAGAACAGTTTCCGTGAGGTACCGTCTAGTGTCAGGCCTCCAAGTAAAGACGCTGTTGGAGGAAAATGAGTGAGTGAGTTTAGTTTTACGGCGCTTTCAGCAAAATGCCAGCAATATCACCGCGGGGGGACATCAGAAATGGGCTTCACACATAGTAAGTACACTGTGAATCTTAACTCGAGTACTTGCAGTACAAACTTGCTTCATGTCTGAGGCAGGTTTGACTTTTGTTTGGAGCAGTTTTCTAAATCCAATCTAGACCAGGCAAACCAGAGAGTGATATAAAAACAACCAGTAACGAGGTTAGGGTACAATTAATTCAGTCACCACACGAGAATTTCCACACGATCCATTACGTCCAACACAGTTGTTCTGGGCAATTCTAGCCAAGAAAAACCTGCACCATCCTCCAACATCAAGCTGGCACGCCGTGATAGAAAATGATAATGTCTATATTGACCTCACTCACTCACTCACTCACTCGCTCACTCACTTACTTACTCACTCACTCACTCATGCACTCACTCACTCACCTGCCAGGTACTTACACGAATTGAAAGAGGCAACCACCACATCGTCCAAGCCAGCACTAGTCGCCCTCCTAATATGATACATCATGACATCAGTCCAGTAGATGTGGCCTGTTGTTACATCATAATCTATGGCGAATGGCTTGTTGATATTGGGTACCTCCAGCTGTGTCAGGTTCATCTGAGAGACATTAAATATATAGATGGAACCTGCTTTTCCGGCATCCCCAACATCCGTCACGAGCACAACCACTTCCGATTCCGGTGATCCTGTGACAGAAATATGGAACAAATATATATGACACAATCGCTTTCAGTTTAGTCACTCCACCACAGATACCTTAATGTTAGTTGGCTCTAACAACAATGCACAATCGTCTAGAATTTAGTCACTCTAGCAACAATGCACAAACTAACAACAATGCATAATTATTAGTATGTTAGTCGGCTCTAACAACACTGCACAATCATTTAAAATTTTGTCACTCTAGCAACAATGCACAATCTTACAACAGTACACAATTATCTTTATGCTAGTCGGCTCTAACAACACTGCACAATCATCTAAAATTTTGTCACTCTAGCAACAATGAACAATCTAACAGCAATACACAATTATCTTTATGCTAGTCGGCTCTAACAACACTGCACAATCATCTAAAATTTTGTCACTCTAGCAACAATGAACAATCTAACAGCAATACACAATTATCTATATGTTAGTCAGGTCTAACAGCAATACACAATCATCTGAATTTTAGTCACTCCAGCGAAAATGCACAATTATCTACAGTGTGTCGCCTCTGATCACAGACAATGAGTTCATTAGGTATTTTCTCACAAGGAACCAGGAAATAGTATAAAAGTCTTTGTTGCCTAAATTAGTAGTAGAAATGTATTGAATTACCTTGGCATCTGCACTGCAACATCAGAGATGAGGCAATGACATAGATCATTGACAAATACGCCATTATCAGTTACTGTCATGTATGATGGTGATTCAAGTAGTGTGTTCTGTCTCTATCTTCCTGGTTAGCAGCTGTTGGACGCACAATAATAACACCGAAAGAGGCTTTCCGGAATAGCTAAAACCCGTGTGAACCTATGTTTGTGCAGTTGGATAGTTACTGGCATCTGTACAGAGTAATATAGGTTCGTTATTGTGATGGCAAACAGCCTAACACCATTGTGCTGAACGTCAATGTGTCGAACCTACGATTGATCCTTCACACGCTTTCGTTCTTTTCTTTTCGGTTGGGTCGAACATCGGATGACAATTCTTAGTGTACATGGTTTATATGCCTTTTAAACCAATATTACAGCGGAGGAGCCCGGAAATTGCCTTCACCACAATCATGTGTGAAATGGAATCCGTACGTAAGTAGTTCACTGAAAATGACCAGGTGTTCGCGAGTTATCGTGTCCTGTGTCCTGTCTAACCGGACGCAGCCTCAACACACACAACTGACATTCAGAAAGTAAACGTACTCTCCTACTTTACCACAAACAGTTGTTCATTGATCACGATAAAATAGAGATGATTCCAGTCGCGTACTTGGTTGTCTCTTCATCGACACGCCTTATGCCATCTGACCACATGTGTTTGGTCACCCACGGATGAAATATTAAATGCATGTAAGAACATAATCGGGGAATGGTAAGTCCAGTTAATGCTGACGAGCCAAAACTAAATGAACCCACAAATGCAACTTGGAAGCCGCTGTGGATTAGTGGGTTAGATGTCAGACTTTGTGTGCCGGCGATTAGGTGTCTGACTTCAGACACCGAGCAGAACACACATACTGGCACGGCGTCCACGGCCGAAACTATGAATACACAATTCATTTAGAAAGCGGTCAGTTGTAACTCATGTTATATTTCGGATTACACCTTCTCAGTAGAGTGTGGGTTCGAATCCCGGATGGGACTCAACCCAACAAAAGTACTAGAATCCGTTTTTTACTGAGAACTTGTAATCCCCAGATATAACATATGTTGAATTGATCCACTTTCTAAATGACATTGTGCATTCAAACCACAAATGGTCATTCGATGGTAGTGTTGTTGATACAGGCAGCACAGCTGTGTCTTGGGCCTTCAGTTTCCAGTGTTTCGACGACTGTTTTCAGTAAAGTAAAGTCTTCCGTTGATCACGGAACTCACACGTGATATTGAACAATTAGAACTCACAAGAATGACAGAGTACATCCATATTTATTGAAGTAGTAGTTTAAATCAAGGTACATAATAGAAACATGTCTGGTAGCATTGACATGTACTTGCGTTACACAAACTACTATCTGAATGTTTTACATTATCTATGAATCCAAAACAAGAACATGAGTGGGATTCAAAACAAAGTATGACTGAAACTCGTAGTTTCCAATAGACAGAAATAAGTCATCAAATCTCCTTTAAAACAGATTTCCTTGGCATTAGCATGCATAATCAGGGGTGGAAATAACTGTAAAATTGCTAGTGTACTCCGGTACAGTGGCAAATAGAAAATCACTTTACCTAATAACTTTTCCACTATACTGGCCGTTTTCTTGTTGAATTTTTAAATAAACAACATAATTAATATTGGAAAGTCAACTGGACACCGGTACAGTGTGATGTACAAATTTGCTTGCCCAACAGAAAAAAACACTGGACTCGGGCGTCGGGCAATGGGTTATTTCCACACCTGGGCATATATGATACGGAGTACTTACGTACTTACACAGTCTAGGAGTTATTAATGAGATCAGATCAGAGCTTTTTGGAAATGAAAAAGTCATCAGTTGCACATTGCATATATTTTACTCCTTCTACTGACAACAAACGCGTGTCCACTAAATTTTCAGTACTGAACGTCATGTAAAAAGTGTAATATTTCTACTTTTGCTCTACAGAAAAACATAAAAGCCACAAGAAATTGTGCAATAATGTTAACGCTTTGCGATGGAAAATAAATATATCAAATGTTTTTGTACGTGAACTGCCATTGTTTTTATTTCATCAGTTCTTAATGTCCAACGCCCAGAAAATATATGAAATACAAATGTCACCTGCATTTGTGAGTAGAATATCAGCAAGTTCCCTCACAAAGAACTCAGGGTTAATTTCCTCACATCAACAAAAACTGATGTTGTTAAGCAAGAATAACATGCCTATAAATATGAATATTCCAGGAACCTCACGGCGGGGGACAACCAAAATAGGCTTACACAGTCTTAATGTAAGGAATCTGCGCCTCGCTGAACGAAAGTTGGAAACATTCTCGACTTTCAACAACCATGTGTCCGCATTCACCAATACAGTTTTAATTCGGGACCAATATATAATTATGAATTGTACTATTGGTAAAAACCTGGACTTTTTGTACGCGTTTTCATGTAGCTAAAGATACAGATAAACCCAATTTCCCCGGTGATGTTGTGTGATGGCTATCTTGTGTCTGCTAAAACGAACAACAATCTAATTCGTCACTAGACAATATTAAAATATTTCTCAATACCACTTCTCCGTATGATGCACTGACTGTGTGAAAGACGCCTTTTCGGGCGTTTATCACGAAAATGATACTTTCTGTAGAGAAAGGTTTTGAGATGATGCTTAAAGTTTTCAAGGGATGGAGACAGCTTAAGTTCATCAGGGAGGGAATTCAAATTGACCGGTGCAATGTTCTAGTAAGACTTGCAGCCAAATGATGGTAATGACGTTTATGGAAACGTCTGGGGGAGCATTTTAAATACAACATGTCTAAGAGTAAAAGGATTATAATACTTACATAGAGAATCAACTTATAAGGATATTAACGAAAGATAAAATGAACCCTGTCAGCAGGAACTTGACATATTGAAGATTTGTTGTCTGCATCCCTGGAATTTTCCCCCAGATAAATATACACACGATACATTGTGATTTAACGATATTCAATCAGATACTCGGGGTATATTTGACCTTCGCTGAAAATCACATAGATTCTCGGGTCTGTTTCCTTATCACATGCTGAGTCAGCAAGTTTAGTTTTGTTGCTGGCATCCAACACTGGGGGACGTTTCAACTCTGGGTTCCCTTGCCTCGACTTCCCCACCAAAACTTTAGCCAAAAACATGAACCTGTGACGCCGGGCGTCTTCTTTATCATAGCCATCCGAGTACTTGGCATCCACAGCAAAGTACGCTCCTTGGCCATAGAGGGCGCCCACTCTACTTCCGGCTAACCGGAAGTCGATGTTTTGGTGCGGGATGAGATCAGCCGAATCTGGTGTGGTTCCGTGAAAGAGTTGCTTTTCGTTGGCAAGACCCCGACCGTATTCACGTTCCATGTTGACCTTTGCGCTGAAAACAACAACAAAGATTATAAAGCCCAAAGGTGTCGTCCTATTTTGGAGAATATGTGTGTGTTTGTTTGCCTGTCTGTCTGTGTGGGTGTGCAAGTACGTATGTGTGCGTGTGTCATGAGAATAATGTGTTAACCATACATTGATACCATGTGCCTCCACACGAAAACATTCCGACGTTCATATGTCAGTGCGCAAATGTTTTAACAACTGGAAGAAATGTGATTATTACGCAATTCCTACAGGTTGTAACATGCATACGTCAGATACCATGTAGAAGTAGTATTAGCTACATCATCACCATGATCTTCAGGAACATTTTGGGCACATTAATAACCATGATCTACAGGAACATTTTGGCACATTAATAACCATGATCTTCAGGAACATTTTGGGCACATTAATAACCCTGATCTTCAGGAACATTTTGGCACATTAATAACCATGATCTTCAGGAATATTTTGGGCACATTAATAACCCTGATCTTCAGGAACATTTTGGCACATTAATAACCATGATCTACAGGAACACTTTGGGCACATTAATAACCATGATCTTCATGAACATTTTGGCACATTAATAACCATGATCTTCAGGAACATTTTGGATATATTATCATTGTGATCTTTAGAAACCCTTTGGATAAATTAATGATACTGACCTTCGAAAACACTTTGATGAATTAGTCATAATGATTTTCGGAAACACTTGAATACATTATTCATCATAATATTTTTCATATTTTTTATTCTATGATCACAAATCGTTTGTGTTATAGATCTGAGATATGGTGATTCACGTCCTGCAGTTTTATTGAGTCTTTTCTCAAAGTGAATACGAAAACATATAACAACATGGCTCTGGAATTGTCGCCCTGCAGTACCACTATACCTCCAGAACATTCAAGTTCTCGTGCAAACGTATTCAACTGTAACAGTATAGAGTTCCTCGCCAAGTTTTCATGATCGTACCAGATACAGTGTCTGTTACATTCATCGTATATACTTACACAGTATACTGTTCCCACAGTGCCACATTCTGGACACGGTAGATGGACACGATGCTCTTATTGGAGAGTGTCTCTTCCACCTTTGACTCAACATGTCTGTATTCAAAGGCCGTCACCGGGTTGGACTCACTCAGCTCCACCTTCTTGAACCCATCCTGTCCCATGATTTCCCAGTGTGCTGGTAGACGCTTTGATTGGCTCATTGACGAGGTCGAAGGTCGTTTTGCAATTCTAAAATCAACATGCACATTATCAAACATATTGTTATATAAATCTAACAGATACAGTTGTGTTGGTATTAAGTCTTATCGTAATGAATACGTGGTACCTTTTACATATTTATTTGAAATGGGAATTCATTTTAGGAATGGCAACACTGAACTTCAAATTGTTCACTGCTTGAGTATTCTGAAGAACAATCTAACATGGTTCCAGAAAAGTGTCCCATTTCAGAACAAACTGAAACGTTTTGAAGATTTAACGATATTAAAAAATGGAACAGAAACTGTGTGTCTCATTAATAACTACACATATACCTAGTCTCATAAGATTATGGGTCTTTTTTAATGAAAAAGTGAAATGGCATAAGAAATTATGCATATGTCAAAATAGCTGCCGCAGATTCGGTGTTTCTTACTTGTCAGTAACATATATATTTCTGTTGCTCTGTCGTTTTCTGTTAAAGGATATGGTTGACTGATCTAACTGATCTGTCCTACCTCTCTAACATTACTCGCACTTCCTTGTTCTTCACGAAATCAAGAGGTGTCTTCCCTGATTTGTTCGCTAATCTGATGCCCCCTCCTCGTTCTACAAGATGACAGAGGATCTCCAGGGCCATATCCTCATTTCTTGGACCTTCCTGTAGACAGTAAAGACAATTTTATCTAAAATGTTCAACACTGACTAAATTATGTCTATAGATAGTGAAGACAGCTCACAAATAAATGTTTGACGTAATTTAACTCGTCCTCTATACAGGAAAGACTTACTGCTCCAGGAAGCGTGATGTCCATCTGGGCGGCGTGTAGAGGAGAATTTCCATCTTTGTCCTGTACGTTGATCTCCGCCTCTGCAGATCAGTAAATGTTGTATAAATTTGTATGTCAAACTGCATGTAAACTATGCTCATCATATTCCGGGAGCAGCTGGACATTCTGCAATTTACAGACTTGTATATGACACTGCATCTAAGATAATATTTATTATACTCTATACCTTCAAGGAGCAGCTGGACATTCTGCAATTTACAGACTTGTATATGACACTGCATCTAAGATAATATTTATTATACCCCATACCTTCCAGGAGCAGCTGGGCATTCTGCAATTTACAGACTTGTATATGATACTGCATCTAAGCTATACTCTACACATTTCCAGGACCATTTGGACATTCTGCAATTTACAGACTTCAATACCAGACTGCATATACGCTATCCTCATCGTATGCCAGGGGCAGTTGGACATTCTGCAATTTACAGACTTACAAGGCATACTACCTGCATGCGATTCTTAGCAGATTCCTTGAACAATTTTGCATTCTGCAGATTACAGACTTGTATAACACACTGTATGTTCACATGTAAGCTTCACTCACCGGATTCAAGGAGCAGTTGTACAATCTGAAGATTACATCTTTGCACAGCCATATGAAGTGCTGTCTTGCCGTTGTCGTCCCGAGCATTGACGTTGCAGCCAGCCTACACATTATGTCAAAAACTTTTCACCGACACAGCTGGTCATCTTTTAGAACTTATAGAACTTACGAATAAATGCCGTATTACGAGAAACAGACAGGTATCTCTCATTGCCGCGAGCTTTTTGAAAAGGGTAGAAGCAGTTTAGTCTTTTAAGTGTTTAGATTCACCTTACCTTCACCAGAACACCTGCCAGGGCCAGAAAGCTCCGGAAGGCTGCGATGTGTATCGGGGTGAGGGCGTTGTTCATGGGGACGTTGACAATCTTCGGATCTTTCTTTATCAGTGCTTGTGGAAATCTGTAAGACAAAGAATACTCAGTAATTAGACTAGGCAGGATGTCTTTACATGGATTACGACTAACGTAGACAGTTTACCAGTTAAACGTACTCTTCAACAACACAAAACATGACTGTTATTTCCAAAGATATAGGTCGTGTTGGGTCGGTGTACCCAGGGTTAGGTGCCCAAACCATTTCAACACCAGTTTCAATTATTGAATTACCTATCATATGATACCAGCAAAACAGGTTTCTACTCATCTTCAAAGATTGGAAAATCAGTTAAAAGATTTTATCCATTCAATGTTCTGTCAATCGATGTTACACAAAACTCGCTTCGGCATCATTCTCAACCATTCAGTGATCTGTCAGTGAAGGTGAGTGAGTGAGTGAGCTTAGTTTTACACCGCACTCAGCAATATTCCAGCTATATGACGGCCGTCTGTAAATAATGGGACCAGACAATCCAGTGATCAATAACATGGGCATTGATCTACGTAACTGGGGTACGGTGAATTGTGTCAACCAAGTCAGCGAGCCTGACCACCCGATCCTCTTACGACAAGCATGGGTTATTGAAGATCAATTCTAACCCGGATCTTCACGGGTGTCAGTGAAGGTAGCTTTAGTCAGTTAACTCACTCTGTTGCCCCAGAGAGCGACACACATGCTTCATGGAAAGGGTTGCAGCCTTCAGAATTGGCGAGTCTCAGATTCAGCTGGGCACACTCCAGGAAGGGATCAAGAAGATGCTGGTTATGGGCTCTGAGTGCATCATGAAGGGGCGTATCTCCCTCCTCATCCTAAAGAATAGATACATTTGTGAATTTTATTTTGTGTTACCAAATTATTTAAACTTATTTTGTGTATTGGCTAAAACTCACTGCCTTAACTATTACAAAAGCTGCGCCTACCTGTGTGTTAGGATCACACTTGTACCGTATCAGTGTCTTCAGACACCGGGTGCTGGGGTCCTTCTTGGCCACTGCCAGATGTAATGGTGTCAGTCCCTTGTTGTTCTTCGTGTTGCCCCGTGCCTTGGCGTCCAGCAGTATCCCTACCACAGTGGGTTGCTCTCTGTCAACATGGCAATGAATGAATGAATGAATAAATGAATAAATTTCCTCAGATAGATTTTCCTCCGAAAATCCTCAAAACATCATTTTTATGTAATTATATTATTAACAGGATATTCAACAGACACACACACACACACACACATATATATATATATATATATATAGAATATAGATACAGTTTCACCAATACAAACAGGCTCCTAACAGTGATATTGGCAAAATTATTACCACATGTTATTAAGGATATCTTTTAGTTTATACAGATACTTTGAGAATTCTATAATAGTAAAATGCCATGCTATTTCATCAATATCGCCATCGGCCCAAAGAAAATATGCTAGCATGTCATGCTGTTCCATCATCTCTATACAGACATACAATTCAACATCAATATCATCGATTAGAGTTGAAAAGAATACATCTCTCTTTGAAAGTAGATATCCATAGTTTAGGATGACATGGTGATAGTAACCATTAGCAAAGGTATTACATTTTGTACATTCTTTTGATATTTGTTTCCTGATACAATCCTTATGTTACATTTTGCAATTCTTCTGACATATTACTTCCGTCGTGCTGTCTCTCTATCACATAAACAAGAGTGTTGATATTCAAACTTCGACATATTGAGGACAACCGTCATGAGCGTGTCTCAAGTAAAAACGTGACGAGTAATTTGGGGGTGACAATTCTAAGCGTCATCTTTGCAACACTCTTAGTGAGGGAATGAGTGAATATGGTATCACGATGCTTTTATAAATATTCGTGCACATTCGGCGTGGGTCACCATAAATGATTGACTTCACACATTGTACCCATGTACATGTAGGGAATCGAACCCGGGTCTTCGGCGTGATGAGCGAACGCTTTAACCACTAGGCCACCCCACCGCCCCTACTTACCCTGACACGGCATAGTGCAGAGGTGTGTCTCCGTCATCGTCAGCCTTGTTCAGATCAGCCTTAGCACCGATCAGAAGCTTGACTATGTCAGCATGACCTTTGTAACACCCCGTCTGCAATGCCGTGAGGCCATCCACTGATTCGTTCACCTGATTGAATTAAGAAAAAAATATTTGATAGCTTCATATTGAACACCTGCTAATAGGATTAAAGTATCTACATTACGCCACTGAATGTATGTAAAGTGTGAATTGTTTTCAATGTCCTGTCAAGAACGTAGACGTGATACCGTGAGTGAGTGAGTTTACTTTTACGCCGCACTCAGCAATTCCAGCAACATGGCAGCATCTGTAAATAATTGAGTTTGGACCAGACAACCAAGTGATCAACATCATGAACATCGATCTACACAATTGGGATACGACATTTGTCAACTAAGTCAGCGAGCCTGACCACAATTAAAAAAACACGTTTAACCCAATATATATACAGTGTTTGTTTCTAAAAGATATTTTCCATCCCAAACACATGCTAGGTCTTTCAGTGGTATTGTTAAAACATGTGAGTGACCTGACCTGCTCTGACCATGTACAGCTATTACATGCCATCCAATGACCCTGGTAGTACACATGCCAAGAATCATGATCGGGATGAACCCGACATTTAAACCCACAATCAGCAAATCATTTTAATGTACGGGCAGTAACTTCTTATTATTATGTCGTGAGAAACGGAATGAACAATGTTAATCTCGATAAGCCGGCACATGTACCTTGTCACCAATAGACCTGACAATGTTTTTCACTGTTTCCGTGTCGCCGTTACTGACAGCGATGACGAGGTCTCGGGCTGTTACGGTACTGCTGGATGACGCATTAGGCTTGAACATTGCACTCTCTCCAGGCTTCAGAAGGCCGAACAGAACCTTAGCCACACCCTCGGCTATGTCTGAGAAGGAAGAATGCACCGAAAGAACTTTTAAAGGACTCTTTGAAAACGAGGTACGTTATTCTCACCAGGTTTGCTAAATGTGAGAAGCTTCAGCGGTTACCATTTAGATTTAATCCACCATATCAGATGAGCCGCTAACTAACGAACGATCGACTCTTTCCAGCGGATCCTGCTTTCACCAAGAAATGCAATTGTTGCCTTAGATCTGTTAGCTACGTGTATCTGAGTTCCCGAAATTGTAAATAGTATGCATGAAATAATTTTAATATATATGTTCCAATCAAGGTATATATGGCTTTTATTCCTTTTCGTACAAATATTTTTCATACCCTAGATTATTGTAACATTATTAATTATTATTATTAATCTTAGATTATGTTAAATGCTTCTATTTGTCAACTGGTATCGGGGTAGAGGCACAAAGTTGTTGGTTTTCCTTTTGGCCAGTGATATCTACTCTGACCAAGTAGTTCCCTATTAGTTATTCACAATGTTTGTTGTTTAAATATTTTATTGTTTTGGTGATGCAGAGTTATATGTACCGTCGACATCAGATGTCGAGGAGTCTGAGCTGGTGCTTTTATGAGACCCTGACGAGGCTTCCTTGTCCTGAGGATCACAGCTGACCGGGCTGAAGAACCACTTGACTGGCCCAAAGGCCACCCTCAGGTCCCCGTCCTTGTCGATCTCAACCACCTGGCCGGTCTTTCCCAAACACTGTGAAGAAGGATTGCAACATTGATGCCAACGGCAATGAATGCTTTATTGATATAAAGGAATTACTGGAAGTTATAGACGTCGTGAGAAACAAATAAAGAAGTTGTTATCTATTGCATTTGTCTTGTATGACTACACAAACTTCTAAACACCTTTGAAGAAATTCATGTTACTTACAATGTATTATTCTTCTTCTCCTATTGTGAATTTAGAAACGGAAAGTGTCGAACACTCGGATGGACCGAACCTTTCTCAGGTCCGTTTCGGCAACGATGATAATGCGAAAGAAATCACAGCATGGACCTGTGGACCTTTATGAGATAGTAAGGACATACCGATAACACGAACAATTACAATAACGTGCTACTGTGACAATATTCCCACAATTCGTTGGGATTTACTGTTGTATCCCTCTACATGGTGGTTTGTGGTCCTGTGCATAGCGCTCAGGTCACAAATCAGTTGAAGTTAAGCCGTTGGGCACGGAGAGTCATTGGATGGGTGACCGTGTTTGGCAGCTTGACTCCTGAGAGCTTTTAGGACTTCATTCCTGTCCCACAACGAAGCACATGTGATACCTTAGGCAAGTGAGTTTGTTCAAAACTGCCTCTGTTCACCCAGTAGAAGATGGGTACCCGGTGAAATAAGTCGTGAGACTATTAACCTTCTAGCGCTTTGAGCAGGATATCTAGCCTGGAAAGACGCATTATACATATCATTATTATTATTACATACATTTTCCATTTTGTCATTCCATCCACCATGTCCGTTCTGGAGCTCCACGGCAGCGTTGTAGTTGTTGGTAATCTTCACAAGGTCCCCGACAGCAAACGTGTGAAGCTGCAACAATCAGATCGACCAAGATTTCATCACAACTTCACCTACGAGGATGAATGAATGTGTGTTCCAACGTGTAGCAGATAACAATTTGGAGCGTACAATATGGGTACATATTTGTTGGATGTGTACATATTTGTTGGATATTATAAGGTTTCGGTCAGTAGACCCTTTTATGGATGAAGAAGGCGCTCCATTATGTCTCCACAGATTATACCTACTAAACTAAACCAGAACAATGCTGCGTTTGTTTTGGGTTTAATAAGCACTGAATGTATAGAAACAGACCCGGCTTAAACCGTTATATGTAACAGCATATCTGGACTGATGTTGCCCAAAGACTACCTACCCTTGTCAGAGTGGACTTCACCAGACCATACCTCTCAGCATCCGGGTACTGTGCCATAATGACGCGTTCATCTTTAGATGGAAGACCGGTGACAGTACCAACCTCTACCAAACACTGGAAATAGAAAACGTTCTTAATTACTTGGGAAACTTGGTTTTCCCTAGAACTTACCGTCAGTTTGAGAAAAGAAAGTGTCACAGAAGGACGTCGTGGCAGATCATCACATACAAACACAGAAGACCATCTCATTGATCGTAGATGCACTTACGACGTCACATGGGCATTCGGTGGTTGAAGCGCTCGCTCGTCACGCCAAAGTCCCGGGTTCGATTCCCCAAATAGGTACGATGTGTGAAGCCCATTTCTGTTGTCCTCAGCCGTGACATTGCTGGAATATTGCTAAAAGCGGCATAAAACCATACTCACTCACTTGCGACGTCACGCCCATCATCTGTGACCTCAACGGATGACGAGTTATTAGGTGAATACATCAATGTTGAGTTGTGACTGGTACGTACCTGTGCCATGCTGTCACGATAACCAATCAAGTCCTTGTGCGTGCGTTCAAATATATCTGCGTCCACCTCTACTTTCACTTTGTCCCCAACTTTCAGGCGAACGTCATTGGGATTCACAACATCTGTAACAGCCAAACTACTATTTCACACGTTTCCATAATGTATGTCAGTTTCCAAATGGGTATTAATGGCATTGCGTTAGGAGACGTATCATCAACTAATGGATATCTACGTTTTGTTGGAACTAAAGTTAAACTGGAATATGATTGAGAAAATACTCAAAAGTAAATACTCGAAATTTCAAGTGTTTGTCAGAAACTTGAAGCAACGAGGAAATACCCGAAGCAACGAGAAATAAATCGGAGCTACGAGGAAACATTCGAAGCAACGAGAACTTTCGCTGAAAAAAATATTTTATGCTACAAAAGTGGCAGCATTAGGCCTTCGTATCACCTGACAGTAATGCGGGTTAACATTTTGGATGCCCAGAAAGGTGATGTGTTGTTGATGTCAACTCACCCAGCACCGGGAGATGGGCCTTGTAGTACCTCCAACCTTGAGTCTGGTCCACTGTGATGAGGTCTACCTTGCCCTGGGCTCCTATACGGTATCCCTTCACACTGTCCTGTCCACCCTTCCACCTCACATTGACAGCCCCCCGGCTGTACCCTCCTGACCACGCCCCGAGCTTCACGACGTCCCCGGTGGTTCCTTCTCCACCTGCAAACGTCATCACAGACATGTCATGCTTACACGGCTCTTTACATGGGACTCACCCCTGAAGATCCGATTTAGAACTAGTCTTTAGCAATCCATGCTTGTCGTAAGAGAAGACGAACGGAATAGGGTGGTCAGGCTCGCTGATTTGGTTGACACATGTCATCCTATCCAATTTGTGTAGAGTGATGTTCATGATATTGATCACCGGTTGGTCTCGTCAAGATTCGATTATATGCAGATCGACGTCATATAGCTAGAATATTGCTAAGCTTAGCGTTAAACAACAAGTCAGCAAAGAGAATACTGCAGAATATCACAACCCTGGCCGTGTCGATGTACTCTATGATCCATTGAATCTAGTCTGTGGTGGTTCCATGCTAGTCAGCGGGACAAGACTTTATCAATTCTGGAAAAGGTAAGATCAAGGCCCTCGGCCCCTTACAACAAAGGGTATAACTGACACAGGTGCGAGTGTTAAGGATGGGAGTAACGGTTTTCTGAACGCCAGATATTAATATTGATATTGATAAACTGACCATTCGGAGACAGATATCAATGTTTATACACCCGCCCTTGGCGTGTGTCCGAGTGCAAAGCTGATAATCCGAATATAAATGTTAATACAGGCTCTAAACTTATATTGGAATGAGGAACTATTGTTGCTTCGGATATAAATATTGGAATTCACACAGTCTTTTGACATACATAGCACTGGGAAATTTTACAATTCGAATATCGATCCTTGACTTAGTTATGAGTATGTGTGTTTGTTAGTTATTCTGTCACATTAGTTGTAATGGGTCACAAAAGTTTAAAGCGCTAAATTTGGATTTTAACTCGAAGCTGAGGAGTTACCTCCCTTTGTTCTTGCTACCGGTGGAAGAGGATGGGATTCCAGTAATTTCTAGATGGTGTTGGTGTGGCATGTTTTTTGTTAAAAAACTCAAGAACTGTATAATAGGTATATATTAGGAATCGTTGTTGAGTTGTTTGGGGAACGACTTTGGATTTACGCTCATCTGTCTGCCAACACTGACGTTGCAAGACCGACTTCTCAGGAGGCCTCGTCTACACTGAACTTTCAACAGCTGACAACAACCTCTATTAGTTCATCTACAAGAATTAAGACTCTGGTAACTATAGACATTAAGTTAATATTTTAGATTTGTAACCTAATGGTATTGTATTAAATATCTGCACTGTCATTCACTGTAACCTTGTTTATTCAAGATGTGATTGGATATTATAGACACGGCTGTGTTTTATTTGGCTGATTTAAAGGGGACTCAGAAGTCTTTATCTCTGTAATTTCTAAACCACAACAAGGTAAATGGGGCCGACGAACTGTATCAGTTATATGTATTGATACTGATACATGCCTTTGTCTTATTTGGCATTCAAGGAGTATTGAGCTTGAGGTCAATATGCAAGCGGGAGCAATTCTCCGAGCACTTTATCATCAATTTATTGGGGTAAGGGATGTCATTCATGAACACGAATGACCTATTAACAAATTTGGAGTGTACAAGTACCACTTCACCTTCATACACTTGCAAGCAGAATCATATTTCAAAACTGACCGTCTTGATTTCCATATTTCCAGTGCGGTCCACGCATGACCGTTGCATCCTTGAACAGACCAATGGCACGGATTCTTTGAGCGCCAGAACGAGGCGGCACGCGCACCCTGGAAATATGAATATAAGCAGATTGGTTTTTCACATCAGCTCGATCCTTCAGGTCATTTCAGAAAAAAAATACACTTTTCGTTTTATATTTACAACCTGACGCCAGTCACACAATATCGAAAATGTGTCAAAGATGTAAATCGTCATCTGCTGATAATAGTAGCTGTAATGATTAAACAGTATAAAAATGATTGCAAAATGCAAGTCGCTTAATAACTTAAGCTTAGAAGCATAAGGGAACAAATAATTAATAGATGTCAACATTTTCATTAGTCTTTGTGATAAAAGACTCAATGCTCCTAAATAGCATTCAAAGGCTTAAAAGCTTAGAATAGTTTCCCGAATTCTGTGATGAAAGCTGAGATGTACCTGACGTTTACCTGAAATATGTTTGCTATCTATAAAAGTGCCTAGATATATATCTACATCTCTAACCCCTTGCTAAAGAAAATGCTTACAACAATATTTTCCCCAGATTTTTAAAATACACAGTCACTCTATGTCCAAAGGCAATTTTCTGGGGAAATCGAAATATATTTCTCGACATTGGGGAAAAAGAGACCCGCAGCCCAATAACATCCATCATTCTCCCACCCATCCGCCAAAAGGATATGAAATGGACAGTCCGAAGAAACGGATTTCACATAGCTTCTGTCGAATACAGCCATAACACTGACATCCATTTATATTTTCACAGCTAATTTCCCTCTAATTCATCAGGAATGTTTGTTTCTGAGGTGAGGTGAAATTATGTTTGACGTCGTGTTTGAGAATATTTCGCTCAAATGACGACGTGCATGCGTGTGTATGTGTATGTGCAGCTGCTTGTACTAGCCCAGACTGAAGCTGGTTTTATAGTGCTAGCCCACTGAGATGCCATGCCGCAGTGAAGCAGGAATACCCAACTCAGACACATTATACTGACTCCGAGCCTACCAGTCCTTGTTGTACCCATTAATGCCGAGCGCCAGGCAGGGACCAACAAGTACCATATTTTAATGGTTTTTGGTATGAGGCGGTCGGGGATCGAACCCGCGACCTTCCGCTCTCCGGGCGGACGCTCTAACCAATACACCACGGAGGCGGTCATGTTTGTGAGGACAGTAAAGAGTGGGTATGCGTACTCACAGTGGGGAGTTGTTGGTGAGACAGCAGAGGAAGGCGTGGTCTGTGTCATGGCGTTCTGTGTTGTAACACAGGGTGCACAAGTCGAAGTCCGTGCATGTCGAACACTTCCATCTCATCCCTGAAATGTCATTTTCCCCACATCCATCACACTGGAAGCCTTTCTGTTGGACACCTGTTAGAAAGATGTAAACAAAACTGTTATTTAAATCCTGAATGCATTTTTCTTGAGGATTAAAATGTAAACAAACAGACAAACAAAAAATCGATTATGAACTCGTGACCTTCCTATGGTTTCTGACCTCTCTTTCGCTCGGTCAGATACCATAAGAAGGACACTCGTTTCGTATAATTCGTACGTAATGAGACCTCGTGTAGTATTCTCTATTTATTACCTACGAGGGCGAACATATCGGGGTTCATATTTTTCATACTATGCCCTAAGGCAAAAAATCACTTTTTCATGGTGACGTTTCTTCTGTGACCTTGCGTTCTACATGCGGCGACGGCGGGTGGAGGGCCTATGTTTGAAAGTTGATTTGGGTTATTTTCCTCAATTTGACGACTTTGGTAATAAACAGAATATTATATTCGTGCCCATATCATACTATGTTTACGACACTCGTACCTAAATATCGGTATATCTCTCGCTCACGCTCGGGAAATACCAACATATTGCACTCGTGTCCTAAACATAGTATGACATGGGCACTTAAATAATATCCTCTATTAAATCGGGCACAGTAAAATACAACAGTACAGTTAAAATGATAAAAACGTTAAATAGTTAAATAATAATTTTATAATGAACATCACAACTTTACTACCAGGTGGAAAATATGTTTGAATTTTAGGGATGGTATGTTTTCAAATTTTACGGTTCAACAGTACGCAATTTATGTCACTGAGCAGCGTTCGAGAAATCATCTTCATATGTACACGAGTATCATACCTGTAGGACCTGAGTCAAACACCAGCAGCTCGAACTTGCCATCATATCCTGCCCGGTACTGGAACTCTCGGCCACCGTCCCAGATAACGGATACTTTGCCTTTGGCCCAATCAGAATCCTCTATCTTCACAACCGTTCCCACGTGACCTTCGCCGCCATCTTGATCTCTCCCCGCCCAGTCGGGACCTCTGACCACTCTGATGCCCGGACATGGGTATGTAGCGGTCATCGTGAGTGGACACTATGAAGGCAATGACAGAGAAAGAACTACAAAATCAGCAATTGTTTGAAGCAGTGGTAAAAGTTAAACATGTGACTATCCTAATCCTCGGACATGGCTTAAGTAGCGGTCATTGCGAGTGGACACGATGAAGGCAATGGCAGAGAACGAGTTACAAAATCAGCAATAGCTTGATGTGCTGGTAAAAAGTTCAACATTTGACCATCTTAATGCTCGGACATTGCTTAAGTAGCGGTCGTCGTTTCGGGACACTATAGAGACAATTGTAGACACATGTTTATTAAATGGAAATTTGCCATGGTTATACATCAACCTACAATATGTGATTGTTACGGTGCGACATCGGCTCTTCTTGAAGAGTGCTGGTAAAATCTCCACATCTTAGTCAACGGAAATACAAATCAAGGACAGTAGAATCAAATGAGACTCAATATAATGGGGAACAAAGCTACATTCACAACTTATAATCCGACTCGTTTTGTTTCATTGATCATAGTTGCCATTTCCGTTTTAAAATGTTCTTTTCCATGACGACCATACCAGGTAAATGATTTTTGAGGTGGTTTTGTCATTAAGTGTTAGCTGTGGGGAATCTTTGATCGTCGGTTCGAATCCCAGTTTTAGCCTGATCTCGGTCCTGGGTTTGTAAGAGCCATAATCATACTATATACTCGTAGTGTTACTGATTTGGTAAAATACAATATAAATGAAGGACAAAAATCCTAGAAATGAAAATTGAACCAGATACGGCAAAAATGTAGATGACAACAAGACCTGCAAAATGAAACAAGCAAATGACATCACAACATAATAAATTAACAATCAGCTGATACGTTTAAAAGGAAGGACACGCGGGGAAACCTGAATAAACAAAACTTAACAAACCCCAATCAAACAAGGCGTGAATTAGTACAACGGGCAGCTAACAATCCAATCAGAGAAATTTAATGTTTACTGACGTGACATGACACGTAATACACATCTGGAATATAAGCCGCAAAAGTGAACCAATCACCTGTCAATATGCCCCGAAACAGAAGATATATCGACAGACACGCTGTCTGAAAACGTAACCGAAACGATGAACGATATCAGTTGACAACTTCAGTTGACCCGCAACAATCAATGAAAACACAGAGAAAATGATTGAAACAGTTGATATACCCATCCGACAAAATGTCCATGCATAAATCAATATATAACCCGACAACATGACCTGATCAGTGACAAAATCAACTGACAACAGGACCTGAAACATTGACTATATGGAGTGACAACATGACCTGAAGCAGAGCCTATATTAACTGACATGACCTTACACAGTGACTATATGAATTGACATGACTTGTAACAGTGACTATATGAACTGACAACATGACCTGAAACATTGACTATATGAACTGACATGACTTAAAACACTGACTATCTATATGGACTGATAACATGACTTGAAACAGTGACTATATGAACTGACAACATGACCTGAAGCAGTGACTATTTTAAATGACAACATGATATGAAAAATTGACTACATGAACAAACATGACCCGAAACAGTGACTATATGGACTGACAACATGACCTGAAACAGTGACTATATGAACTGACATGACCTGAAACATTGACTATATGAACTGACATGACCTGAAACAGTGACTATATGAACTGACAACATGACCTGAAACAGTGACTATATGAACTGACAACATGACCTGAAGCAGTGACTGCATGAACTGACAACATGACCTGAAACATTGACTATATGAACTGACTGAGCTGAAACATTGACTACATGAACAGACAACATGACATGAAACATTGACTATATGAACTGACATGACCTGAAACAGTGACTATATGAACTGACATGACCTGAAACATTGACTATATGAACTGACATGACCTGAAACAGTGACTATATGAACTGACAACATGACCTGAAACAGTGACTATATGAACTGACAACATGACCTGAAGCAGTGACTGCATGAACTGACAACATGACCTGAAACATTGACTATATGAACTGACTGAGCTGAAACATTGACTACATGAACAGACAACATGACATGAAACATTGACTATATGAACTGACATGACCTGAAACAGTGACTATTTGAACTGACTGAGCTGAAACAGTGAAAAACTCACCCGAGAACATGATCCAGAACGGTGAAAGAATCAACAGACACCATGACCTGACACAGTACCAATATCAAATGACAACATGACGTAAAGAGTGAATATATCAACTGACATAATCTGGAACAGTAACTATGTCAACTGACAACGTGACCTGAAAGAGTGAATAAATCCACTGACAATATGACCCGGAACAGCGAATACATTAGCTTATCACATGACCCGGATCAGTTAACAGAAAACTGGCAACAGGATTGTCTAACGTGAATCAGTTAACCTTTGTACAGCCAGTCAAAAAGGTTTTTTACAAGACGAGAACAAGGAAGGAAAATTCACTAGCGATAAGATATACCTCAGTGCTCATGTACACTGTTAAACAGATACACGGTCAAGTATAAACAGAACCCTATTGAAATGTCATTGATCGGGTCATCTATTTATATCTCCAACTTAGCCAGTTCAACATTCACACTTTTATACAAAACGTAAATTCAACATTTTCAAGCTGATGTTTTAGTTAAGGAACGCCTATGTATTACAAGGAACACCTATATATATCATACATATATAACTGTGGTGATATGTCGTGTATTATTACATGTCTGCATGACAAGTTCGAACAGGTATAGTTAATACATTCTCACAATAAAGCAACGTAACGTGCATGGGCGCTGCATACATTGTAACATCGGCATTTATCATGAATATAATCGTGTTCTTGTGACGGTTACACTTACCACGATATCACCGATTTGAATAACACAATCTTCACAGCAATATATGGACGTCCTTGTCAACAACTACCATCTCACTAAACCGAAAGTAGAAACAGAACTGTGGCTTTGTGCCAGCGAGAAAACCCACCTATAAATAGAAATGGCGGGCTAACATATCTGCGTCACTTGACATAATACAATGCGTCTACACCATACAGTGCATATTGATTGACTTTAGATATCCGCACTGACGGCGGTCTATTACACCTAAACAAAACCTGGGCTGTTGCTCAACGGGCTATAAATGTGTCTACATGATTGCTTTGTGCGTCTAAAAAAAGTTAATGCTTCATTGATGAATCGAACCAAGGCCATATAAAATAATATTCTTGTTTCTCATCTCTTATTCCTAAATATATGTGTCGGGCGGGTGGATAATATTGTTACGTTTATTTTATGTTATGTCCCAAACCGTTTGATTTCTGTGGATATTTACACCTTTTCTCTGATAGAAAATCAAAACTTAGAAGAGTGATAAATTCATGCGCATTCTGAGAATCAAAGTTGCATTTTCTCCAGTGTAAACCATCAAACGAATCTTAGGGTCGGGTCGAATTTGGGGGTCTAGCGGTAATGAGAAGCAAGAATATGTTCATATATGGCCTTAATATAGCGGGTGTTTTCGAGGATATAAAATTGTTATTTGAGAAACCGATCCTCAGATAGCAAAGTCGAGAGTCCTTGTTATATATATCCTTAATGTCGCGTGCCAGGCACGAAAACAACATGTACCTTCTTTTAAATCTTGTTGGTTTGTGTTGTTCTTGTTTAACGTCGCACTCAGCTGTATTCCAGATATATGGCGGCGGCCTATAAATAATCGAATCTGGACCTAACAATCCAGTGATCAAGAATATTAAAGCAAGTTGGTATGACGCGACCAATGGAATTTAGGACTGACCGTCCATTCTCCGGCCACTGTTCAGTGGACACGCAGACCGTGTGTATGCGAATCGATAAATTATAAGGAGTACAACTTATTGTAGCTTATCCAGCCTCTACCTCTGGAAAGGCTCTACAGACTCCTCCTCATGCTTCTTTGATACGCGGCATGTAGACCGGGTTCCTGTGCCTCCTGAAACCACTGATTATAGGTTCGAATCCAAATTCAGCCCGGTTATGATCCTTGATATTCCCGCTCAATGGACGTGCTTGTGTTTCAGTCAAGGTGCAGACATTAGTTTTCCACCTCAAATAAACGAACAATTAATTGTAATACTGTAAGAAGAGTTCAGTTTTTTATAAACTTATACTCATTAAATAAATTTATTTTTCACCTTTAGGTTGTGTTGTATCCGTCAATTGTGGCTTTTCCCCCCTTCATTTCTCTTTTCTATAAATAGCAAAACAAAACAAAAATAATAATATATGAGTTTTCTATATTTATTGCACTGCCTTCACATCTGGAACCATCCAACAACAGTTATAGCATTATGATTTCCAACACCCCGATAGATATGGCTCCAGGAGAATCCGTTATGTCTCTACACATAACAAAAGCGGTTAAATACTGATATCGACTCATTCAGGTACAAGTTGATTACCACATCGTTCTTGTTCGACGTAAGAATTGAACTCGGAAGCTGGTCGACACATATTGGCAACAAAGCTAAAAAATAATGTTTTTTAAGTAATAAATAAATTTTTTTAGATCTTCAGAGGTTACAGATGCAAAATAATTTGGAAACATCGAATTCTCTAATCAGAACAAGAACAAAGATTTTAAGATGATTGCAAGTCCTGAATAAAAGTATCACACCTAAGTAAGTAAATAACGAAATATGACATTGGTACACATTATACAAAATATTTCTTCAATCGAAATGATATATTTCTTATAGATGGATATTGCTCTCTGTAAAGGTCTCATCTGCAGATAAATGAAAGCGAAAAGGCGTTTCTATGTTCATATCATTATTGCAATACATCAGCTGAATCAATATAAAAAGTGGTGATACTAGGTATACAAGGACGTTATAGCATGATATACACGCGTCTGAAGCCAGTACACAGGTCAGATTAGGACAATCAACAATATTCAATCAGATACTCAGGGTATATCTGATTCTCGCTGAAAATCACGTAGATTCTCGGACTTGTTTCCTTATCACATGCTGAGTCAGCGAGTTTAGTTTTGTTGCTGGCATCCAACACTGGGGGACGTTTTAACTCTCGGTTCCCTTGCCTCGACTTCCCCACCAAAACTTTAGCCAAAAACATGAACCTGTGACGCCGGGCGTCTTCTTTAGCATAGCCATCCGAGTACTTGGCATCCACAGCAAAGTACGCTCCTTGGCCATAGAGGGCGCCCACTCTACTTCCGGCTAACCGGAAGTCGATGTTTTGGTGCGGGATGAGATCGGCCGAGTCTGGTGTGGTCCCGTGAAAGAGTTGCATTTCGTTGGCAAGACCCCGACCGTATTCACGTTCCATGTTGCCCTTGGCACTGAAAGCAAGAAAGGTCTTAAAGTCTCATATACTGGAGGAGTGTGTGAGTGTGTGTGTGTTTGAGAGAGAGAGAGAGAGAGAGAGAGAGAGAGAGAGAGAGAGAGAGAGAGAGAGAGAGAGAGAGAGAGAGAGAGAGAGAGAGAGAGAGAGAGAGAGAGAGAGAGAGAGAGAGAGAGAGAGAGAGAGAGAGAGAGAGAGAGGTACACTATCAGTAGCTTTACGGCTTTGCATGTATAGCAAAATGAAATAACTATTTCCTGAGGTTACCTGCACATAACAGTTAAAAGGCAACAACATTGGAACGTTAGCTAAAACATCGGAGCTGTATCTATAATTGTCTTGCTTCTAATGCTGCGAACATATGCCATTCGAATAAAAAGAATACAACTGTGTTAGGTGAATCTTTGAACCAGATGATTAAGATTTTAGGGTTCTACAGGGTTACCTAGTCAATGAGTTCTCAGATATTCAATGTTTATTTGTTGGCCAATTTGTGTATTTCACCGAAACTTGACCCTCGGCAAACTTGTATCTGGTTGTAAAGGGACTGCTGTAGATTTGTGAGTGGGTGAGTTTAGTTTTACGCCGCACTCAGCAATATTCCAGCTATATGGCCCCCTGCAGATTTGTAATATGGTGACATAACGACTGAGGCTGACACGTGTGAAATGCAGGAACTGCGTTTATCATTGTGAGCCTAAGCCGACAAATAGAGCTACAATATATAACAGTCTTGTTAGGACTCCTCCGTCACAGGTACCCAGTACATTCTGTGTGAAAAAGGCATGATTCGCTCCGGTATGGAGACACGCGCAGCATGTGCTTAGGTCCATCATACTTACACCCTATACTGTTCCCACAGTGCCACATTCTGGACACGGTAGATGGACACGATGTTCTTATTTGACAGCGTCTCTTCCACCTTTGACTCAACATGTCTGTATTCAAAGGCCGTCAGCGGGTTGGACTCACTTAGCTCCACCTTCCTGAACCCATCCTGTCCCATGGTTTCCCAATGTGCTGGTAGGCGCTTTGATTGGCTCATTGACGATGTCGAAGATCGTTTTGCAATTCTGAAAATGAAGATATATTTTCAAATCCGGCGCATGTCAATAAATAGGTTTCAAAACAGCGGGAGGATTATTTCATGTATACATAATCAGCAGAGTTATGATGTTAGTATCCAGGGCGGATACAGGATTTTCGTTTGGGGGTAGGGGTGGGGGGTGCACCCCAATCCTCGGAACCCAGGGCATAAAACATGTAGTACATTTGGAACACTCTTAGGGGGTGGTGCGCACCCCCGCACCCCCCTCTGGATCAGCGCATGGTATCATATGGGATAATAGGAAAGTATTGTGATAAGAGCGTTGGCTTCTCACAGAGAAAACCTTAGTTCGATTCCATACATGGTATACTAACAGAAGCCCGAGTCTGGTGACTCCAGAATATCATTCGAGCATTTGCAAAACGGAGTAAAACACAATCACTATATGATTGCACTACCAGTCCTGTCTTCCTTGGTATCGCACTTCGTTGTGCACAGTTGTCTCCCCTAGTAGTCACAGGAACAGCTGACATTGATTTCAAATCCCAGAATCAACCGGGAATGTCTGGTCCAGAGTACGTTATTTCAAACTACCGTCATAACTTGAACACTGCTTAGTGGGCGTCAAAAACAACAAGCAAAGTAATTTGTGACTTCATGGAATTCCTAGATAATAAACATCTGGGGGTGTGCACTAGTGCAGTTATTACTAACCCAGTTATTAATCCACAGTATTAAAACATAAAAAAATAATTGTAACAGTATAAGTGAAGAAATGAAATGACACAATAAAGGTTATTTGTGTTTTTGTCAATATGGCTGCCGACCCCTGAAGGTCCGGGTTAGAATATTGATCTTCAGCAAACCATGTAACTAACGGAATTGGGTGGTCAGGCTCGCAGACTTGATTGACACATGTCATCCTATCCCAATTGCGTACGTTGATGCTCATGCTGTTGATCACTGGATTGCCTGGCTCGTTCATTTACAGACCGCCGCCATATAGGTGGAATATTGTTGTGTGCGGCGTTAAACACCAAACCAACCAACCAACCAAAATGGCTGTCGCGTGTTATCTCTTTATTATTTGTCATAAAGCTGTTGCTCTGTCGTTTTCTGTTAAAAGATATAGTTGTCTGATCTATGGGATCTGTCCTACCTCTCTAACATTACTCGCACTTCCTTGTTCTTCACAAACTCAAGAGGTGTCTTCCCGTCTTTGTTTTTCAATTTGATGTCCCCTCCTCGTTCTGCGAGATGGCAGCGGATCTCCAGTGCAATGTCCTCATCCTTATTTGCCTCCTGCAGCCAATGAAAACAGTTCTGTCATACACACCCACAGCTTAACTCAACCTACATACGACCCGTGAAGATCCGGGTTAGAATTGGTTCCTGTAATCCATGCTTGCCGTAGGAGACGACTAACGGGATCGGGTGGTCAGGCTTGTACAACCCCAATATGTAGAATCAAGACAACATGTAAAAACTAACGCAATATGTAAAAACTTAACGTAAAACGTAAAATATAACGCAATATGTAAAAGATTAACGCCAAATGTAAAAGAATGTCTTCAACGCAATATGTAAACACATAACGCAAATTGTAAAAACAATTTTTAACGCAATTAGATAAAGATTAACGGAATCTGTAAAATTTCAGCTTTATTGTTGTTTATTGTTGTTTATTTTTTTAGAAACTTTACTTAATGCGTTTCAAAATACCTAAGCTATTGCAATATTTCTGACAAAAGTAACCTCATTTCTGACTTAGTTGATATCTGATCTTTTTGGTCGTTTAACACCAAAGTAAAGCCGATAATTATGTAATATACATGTATAGCGATACTGGATATCATAATCTATATTCGATAGTATCCAAGGAAATCATTTTATTCTTGCTGAGAGACCAGTTTCGTTTTCAAATTTGTCCTATTAGTGGTGAATTAATAGCAAAACATTTTCCTTTATGGAATTAATGTATTAGCTATTTTCCTGGCAGTGTTTTTTTTAATCTCACCTCAAAATAAACAAATGAAATGCAACAATTCCTGATAAAAAGTTTGAGCCATCCCATAGAAATGACGAGAAACTTGGGAATTTGTTTCAGACACACTTTGAATGAATTTTAGAGAAAATACCATATTTACGATGATGTATTTACAAATATTATATTACTCCAAAATGTGAAAATTGCTGTTTAAGTATAAATGTGTCGCTGGACACAAGTATCTTTTTATTTAGAAATGGTAAATCCATCTTGCAGTTTTAGGTATAATGGACATGTAAAATGCATCGCAGTGATTCGGGTATGTGCATTCCAATCACATCTGATATTTTTCAATCAAGTCACAGGTAATATTGCTGCCAATGAAATCGAGTAATACCAGAGATATTTGAGATTGGATCCCGATGTTGATCGCTCAAATTTAATGAAATAAAGTTATTGTATTTGATGCAATTTAAGTAATATGGAATTTTGAAGTAAATGGGTAACATGACTTGTTGTTTTAGGTGTCAGAAAACTGAATCCATCAAACATGCAAAAGCAAAGATCAATGATACACGTATAGAATTGCAAAATCACCAACCACGTCTAAGAAATTATGATCGTAATTCACCAGTTAATCACATAGATTACCATTCGCTGTGTATTCTGTGACATTCCTGTGATTATTTGACGTACTATCAAACATTAGTAGAAATGGAACCAGTTATTCCATTGTTTATCTCAGTGTAATTAAGGTCTTCAATATCTGCAAAAATGCTGAAGAGGTGTTTAACCTTATGAACTAATTCATTCACTCACTCACTCACTCACTCACTCACGGGACATATGGTGATCACCTGGTACACTACTCTTATGATAGAGGTCAGAATCTTTGATGTAAACGGGACAACGGTAGAGAGAGACGCAGAGAGTATAGTTTCTTTCATATTGGCGGCTCAAAATGCCTGCATCTAGGAACTATTCCAGTAGTCCCTTAAACCGCCCATCGTTGTTTCATGTACACAGTCAAACATTGCTACAACATGCATGTTATTTCAAACCAAATTAAGAAGGATCAATAAGTGGTTTTCTTTAAAAAAACTATTCGGTGATCACAGATTATCAACAACGGAATGGACAGTTTGAAGGAAAGGTCAAACCTTCTTATATGACAAAATAACCCAAATTACCATTTATGAAAACAAGTTTGAAGAATAAAATTATTCCTTTAAAACTTTCGAAAATAGACTATAAGATCGATTAAAATATCTCTATACACAAGGAAATTACATGTTTATCGACTCTGCTTACATGTATACTGAACGAGGTAAAATTTTGTAAAAAAATGTAATATGAAGTTTATTTTGTAGGAAACATTGCGACAAAAATGGATTTCGATCGCCACCCCTAATATTCAAACGTAAAAGTGGATTTTACATATTGCGTTATTTTTTTACATATTACGTTAAGAAATGTTTTTACATTTTGCGTTAGGTGTTGTACTTTTTGCGTTAAAGACATCTGCAGAACGATGGTCATGATGTTCATCACTGGATTGTCTGGTTAAAACTCGATTATTTCCAGACCGCCGTCATATCACCGGAATAGTGCAGCGTTGAACAACATCAAAATGAAACTAAAATCTTCCTACGTACACTCAACCTTATTTGTCACAACCATAAAACAACTGATGCAGGTAATATGTGCCAAAAGGACATGACTTTCGTTCAGCAAACATTTTAACACCTGACACAGCTGATTGTAACGAAGGTTCAGACGCAAGCACGGTAGTACTCACAGTTCCAGGCAGCGTGCTGTCCATGTGGGCGGCGTGCAGAGGAGAATTACCATCCTGGTCTTGTACATTGATCTCCGCCCCTGCAGATCATAGCAGGTACAGTGAGTTATAGAATAGAAAACCCTGAAAGACGTGGAACTGTTTACTGGACAGTTATTGGAGTGAATATGGAAGGCATCTGTTGATAGTGGCTTTGTCGACAAGAAGATAATTAGCTTTACAAATTTCTCTACAGACCAGATTCCCGGATGAAGCAAATGTCAGTGGGCAAATCGTTCTGTACTCAAGGACTTTCATTGGGAGTTAAATTGAGCTATAGGGCAAAATGTTCCCGATTCAACCGTGGAGACCGTCTGCATTCATCGGTTGGAGGTGAGGAATCTACTACACGATCCCATGGGTCACGCTCGTTCCTGGCCAACAGACATGAGGACAAATTGGACCATCTACAGGTCACACTATTCCCTAGCCACCGGACCTCAGGACTCCGGATATACTTACAGTACGTAAGGCCATATTCACCTGACTAGTAGCAGCTGGACCATCTGTTGCTCCCATCAGACTACACTCACCGGACTCAAGTAGCAGTTGGACCATCTGCTGCTCCCATCAGACTACACTCACCGAACTCAAGTAGCAGCTGGACCATCTGCTCAGACTACACTCACTGCTCCCATCAGACTACACTCACCGGACTCAAGTAGCAGTTGGACCATCTGCTGCTCCCATCAGACTACACTCACCGGACTCAAGTAGCAGTTGGACCATCTGCTGCTCCCATCAGACTACACTCACCGGACTCAAGTAGCAGTTGGACCATCTGCTGCTCCCATCAGACTACACTCACCGGACTCAAGTAGCAGTTGGACCATCTGCTGCTCCCATCAGACTACACTCACCGGACTCAAGTAGCAGTTGGACCATCTGCTGCTCCCATCAGACTACACTTACCGCACTCACGTAGCAGTTGGACCATCTGCTGCTCCCATCAGACTACACTCACCGGACTCAAGTAGCAGTTGGACCATCTGCAGGTTACACCCATGCACTGCCAGATGAAGAGGTGTCTTGCCGTTGTCGTCTCGTGCATTAACGTTACACCCAGCCTGCTCAACAGATTACCCAGTTGGAATTATACAATACTTTCAGTCCTGGAAGTAGGAAACAATTTTCTAATTTCTGATTTCAAAAATAAGGTACAACTTTAAGACGTAATACGATTTCAGTTCCATTCGTAACAACTCGTGTCATTCCGGCAAGCCGGATGGCGTCTCGTACCCTCTCGTGGCTATGTTTACGACTAGGCCCTGTCTAAGCGCAAACGGGCATGGAGATGAAAATAGTCTAGTACTATTACCAAGAAAAGATAACATGGCCCCAAGAATATCCTATATCCCGTGGGCAAAACAGCAATACAGTCATTTCCTTTGTAAATATGTTTCAGTGTTTATAGTTTCTGATCCTTTAGCTCAAAGTTTATGTTTAAATTGTGCTTTGCATAGTTTAGCGAAGTTTCAAAGTTCAACGGTGCCGCCATTTTCATGCTTCGAAATGCGTTTTACTACGCGCGATTTGATTGATTTGCCACGATTCTTGGCAATAATGGCGTACGATAGGGGTACGAGTCTTCTTGTAGGTCACGGAAAGAGGCGAGTAGTTTCAGTTCATAACAACCAACCAATAGTTTATAAGTTATATGATGAACAATTTTAATTTCAAATATTTTAATTGCCGTAATTCTTACAAAACACAACATCATAATCATAATTTCCACTGCACCTCTCCCTTAGATTTTGAACAAGGAATTTGAATTTGAAAACAACCCAACCAACAATTTTCAAGTTAATGATTGAAGAAAAAAATCTTCGGAGGGCAGAGGGAATTCCTGGGTACAACTATTAACCCCTGGTATGATAACTCAAAACTAAACACGCACGCACTATGGACACCTCAAGTATGCAAGCAGCGGTCACCAACGCGATGTTAAACCCATAAGCATCCACCTTCCTTCTCGCCCTCGCAACACCTACCTTCACCAGGACGCCTGCCAGAGCCACAAAACTCCTGAATGCTGCGATGTGTATGGGGGTGAGGGAATTGTTCATGGGGACGTTGACAATCTTCGGTTCTTTCTTTATCAGTGCTTGTGGAAACCTGAATAAGATCAAAAGGACAGGTGTGGAATACCTGGATTGTGTACTTGATGTCAAGTAAATAACAACCGCCAGAGCCACAATAGATATAGTATTACACAGTGCGTACCAGGCAAAATGACAGTTAAAATCGTATCAAAGGACAACTAAAAATTAGTGCTGACAACAGAGACATTTTCCACAATGAGATAATGAGCATTGTTTATATTTAGGATTTCATTTTCAAGAATAGATTCTGGCATTTTATCTGTTACGTCCCATTCAGGCACCTAAGTCAGCGACCTAACTCACCTTCATAAACCTGGAAGTCTGACAACCCTGTGGATCCCTCTGGCACGTTTGAGATAATTTATGACAGATTATTGAGATAAAATACAATTTGAGATATCAGTTATGTATAGCAATCATAGAACGCACTCTGCTGCTCCGGAGAGGGAGGTACACGCTTCGTGGAACGGGTTGCAACCGTCTGTGTTGGCGAGTCTCAGGTTGAGTTGGTCACACTCCAGGAAGGCGTCAAGAAGAGGCTGGTTCTGTGTTCTAATGGCATCATGAAGTGGGGTATCTCCGTCCTCATCCTGAAGAATATTTTTCAAGAAAACGATTTATATTTCAAGGATTGAGAAATTGAATGTTTATTGGAAAAGACAAAAATAACAGTATAAAATCCTGGCTTGATAAGTAATAATACTGTGATGGTTTAGGTGACAATGATGTTAATTAATTGTTTTCGCTGTTGCTGAGATTTTAGGAAGATTAAGACGGATTACAGAATCCGTCTAATACAATAGTAGTATGTAATTACCACGTGGAGTGGCTTCCGAAGTTTAGAGGCTTTTGGTGAAGGTTTGTGTGTTGAGGAAGGGACCTTAATCTCACCTGAGTGTTGGGATCACACTTGTACTGTATGAGTGTCTTCAGACACCGGGTGCTGGGGTCCTTCTTGGCCACTGCCAGATGTAATGGTGTCAGTCCCTTCTTGTTCTTCGTGTTGCCCCGTGCCTTGGCCTCCAGCAGTATCCTTACCAGAGTGGGTTGCTCTCTGTCAATATGGCAGAACTTCTGTCAGGGTCAAGCAATTCCAGGGATTCCTGGGATTTGTCTACAGGAACTATCTTTGTCGTTCGAAGCGCCAAAATAAACAATACAGGGGTCGTGTGTATTGGGCTGAGTTCGGGACTTGGTTGGTTTTAATTGTTTGACATTCAACCCCGACGGCGTGAGATGTTGCTCATTGTATTAATCACCGGTTTAATCTTTGGTTTGTCAGGACTCGATTATTTACAAGCCGCATCTATAGCTATATTATTGCTGATATATTAAATCTTCACCAAACGGCTCACATAGCATGTTGTTTGTGATGGTTTGAATTATCGCCATCACTTAATCTTAATATTGATTTTACCGATTATTGTTTGACAGGATGATTTCACATAATAAAATCGATATGATTTATAAATACATAACTCGTATAGAAATCGGGATAAGTGAGCAAGTCAACAACGTTTGTTCAACTGGGCGGGGAACTAAAAATTCTAAGTACAGTAGTCCTGTATTGCATGAGTGAGTGAGTTCAGTATTACGCAGCTTTTAGCAATATTCCAGCAATTGCACGGCGGGGACACCAGAAATGGGCCTCACACATTGTACCCATGTGGTGTATTGCATGAAGAAGACTAAATGATCTCGCTTGGGTAACAGTCTATTTTACCCCATGGCAATATCCTATATTTCAAAAAATAACTTCACAGAATAAATACAATAATAAGACAGAATCGGGCAGTCCCCAACCTTTTTTTGTGAGTGGTATATTTTGTAAATATAGTTCTGTTCTCCCACATCGATTCTGTTGAGGATAAACATTAAGAATTGTATGATCATGTTACATAGTTTCTTTCTCAACTTGTTTCGTAACCTCTTTGCCTGGGTTTAAAAGGTAAATACTGACCCTGATACGGCATAGTGTAGAGGTGTGTCGCCGTCGTTGTCGGCCTTGTTCAGATCAGCCTTAGCACTGATCAGGTGCTTGGCAATGTCAACGTGACCTTTGTAACACGCTGTCTGCAGTGCCGTCAGACCATCCACGGCTTCATTCACCTGGCGACAGTTCAGCAGATACAAACTCTGATGGTGCCACTTTGGTAGTATAACTTATTTTTTTAAACTGAAATTTCCCATTGTTTCAATTATCTGCATATCGTTAGAATAATTGTTTTCTCTGTAAATAATATATTTCCGTATTTTCGAATATTTGTTCGGTATTTTCGAAGTTTATTCCAAAAGCATACAATTCCGATTTTTTTCTTTGCTTTGATTATTTGATGCTATCAGTGTGATACCATTGGACTTTCGTAAGAATTAAGTTAAATATGGTAAAGCAAAGACAGTTAACGCAGTAAGCGTAATGATAGATACAAAGCCTTCACTGAAACATTGAATCAAAACGTACCTTGTCACCAATAGACTTGACAATGTCTTTCACTGATTCCGTGTCGCCGTTGCTGACGGCGATGACGAGGTCCCTGGCTGTGACTGACGTCGTGGGTTTAAACATAACACTCTCACCTGGTTTCAGAAGGTCGAAAAGGACCTTTGCCACGCCTTCTGCTATGTCTGGAAAAGCATATCATGATGTTCTATAGAAATTAAAGAACAAATTGACCCAAATTAACATTTTCAACCATGTTCAATATTGAGGAAGCCAGTGGACTAAGCTGCTGTAAAATATACATAGAACAAGGGAGGCTACTCTACTACGTCAGTTGACAGTGTTCCACCAGTTGTTAGAATTTCCCTCGAGTGAGCGAGTTAATGAGTGAGTTAATGAGTGAGTCAGCGTGAATGAGGCTGGTTTTACGCCGTTTTACGCCGCCCCGAGTTAATGAGTGAGTTAATGAGTGAGTTAATCAGTGAGTCAGCATGAATGAGGCTGATATAACTTGTTTTCCTTGTTGTTTAACGCTATTCAGCTATTTTCCAACGGAATGGCGGCGTGGTAATATCTACATGTCATAGACGTTATATAACGTGAAATTCACAATAATGGATCCAACAAACCTGGCGAATATTGGATTCGAACCCAGAATAGGTACCTGACTGTATATGGAATTGCGGGTCTTCAGAGGGCTTGGCCACCATTATTTCCTCATTTCCCTAAAGCTGATCTCGAAGCTATATGTGTGTTATTGATCACCTACAGCTTCCACGAGGTAGCTGTGACTGATTTAATCGCGGGATCTTACACAACGTCGTCACATTATTCACAACTACTCTGTGATAAATAAAGGAATATTGATATGATTACATCACATATTTCCCTGGAGAATACTCACTGTCCACGTCCGATGAATCTGAGCTGGTGCTTTTATTAGACCCAGAAGAGAGTTCGGACCCTGACAAGGCCTCTCCGTCCTGAGGATCACAGCAGACAGGACTAAGGAACCACTTGACGTTCCCAAAGTCAACCCTCAGGTCTCCGTCCTTGTCGATCTCAACCACCTGGCCGGTCATTCCCAGACACTGTTGAGAAACGTAGATACCCACAATTGAAGTTCTTCACTGATTTGTGTGAAATATTTTCAGAATAGTATCCCATGACAACGACAGATGATATCCTTATAAGGGATGCCACGATACATTGATACATCGATACTTTTTCTAAGACGATACAATTATCGATAGATTCAAAACTGTATCGATTTTTACTTTGTAAGTATCGGTTAAATATGTTTATGTATCGTTTACATTTGCAATTGTATCATGCTTTTTGATGTTATGAGAGTTATAATGATTATTTTTCATGCACAAAGATGGGAAATTAGAACGTTTTAATCTCTGAGAATAAAAAAATATTGATCGTTTCATGGACAATTATAAAATATTAATGTTCAAAATGTAACTAAATTTACGCAATAATGGCGCAAAAATAGGTATCGTGATACATATCGAATCGTTACGTAGATATCGTGATACGTATCGATTCATGAAACTTATGTATCGTGACATCCCTAATCGTTATTATGTACTTTGTTAACTTAAGCAACATCCTCACATACCAATCCGACGTTTCTTTTGTCTCTCCATGGGTGGGCAGTGTTCCCAGTTCATTCTCACTGATGTTGGTTGACTACAGTATCAGGTAACTCGCAGGAAGGTACTTAATGATTTTAACAATGAGATTTTTTCGTTTTCCTTTATGACACATATATTTCTCAAATTCCAAATTAATTATTCATATTCTTGACGTGTTCAAAATGCAGGTTGTATATTGCTCGTGGTTAACCAAGTCATTTCATGGACATGAGGGCGACATCAAGTGCAGAAATACGGTGAACAAATGTACGTCTAAAACACCTACTTTAAGTCATGTTCTAAAATACCTACTTTAGATTCGTGGCATACATGTAAGAAGAGGTATCATTGAGGGTTGACATTGTTAGAAAATACCTGGAAATAAACAACAAATCTTACATCTTCCATTTTATCGGTCCAACCGCCATGTCCATTCTGAAGCTCAAGGGCAGCGTTGTAGTTGCTGATGATCCTAACAGTGTCCCCAACAGCAAACGTGTGAAGCTGCAATTGCCAGGGATGGAGTTGATTGTCCGCAGTTCACCTACACTGAAACCAGGGGCGTATCCAGAGGGGGGGAGGGGGGGGGGGGGGGGGAACACTTTCCCCTAACCTTTGGACTTCATGATTTATCGCACCCCACCAAAGTTCGAGAAAACGTGTTTAAATATGTATTCAACTGCTATTTTGAAGATCGAACTCGGTCCTGCACAAAGCCACACGCTATATATTTACCACATGTTACATTTGAGACTACACTTTCTCAGTAACGTACAGCTTCTAGAACCTTTTGGGTGAGTTCCATCAGGGACAGTTCACCACTTAATAAATGGCATTGTGTATTCATACACACGTGCACTATATTGTCAGGTCTCTTTTGGGTGAGTGAGTGTGTGATTTTACTTTTACGGCGCAATATTCCGGCTGTATGGCGGCGGTCTGTAAATAATCGAGTCTGGACCAGACAATCCAGTGATCAATAGCATGAACATCGATCTACGCAATTGGGATACAATGACACGTGTCAACCAAGTCAGCGATCCTGACCACCCGATCCCGTTAGTCGCCTCTTACGACAAGCATGAGGTCCTGATGATCAAGTTTAACCCGGACCTTCAAGGTTCTCATTTGGGGGGAACAGGCTGTGGTCACATTATCAACTACAAATGTTGGGTTCGCTATAATACCAACAACTGAAGTTGTTTTTGAACGTTAAATATATTAATGTTGTACGTGTAAGTGCGTAAAACAACCAGTTACTACAGAAATATGTGCAGAAGTTTCTATTGTCTACCGGGACTCACCTTCGTCAACGTTGACTTCATCAGGCGGTGTTTCTCTGCATCTGGGTACTGGGCTTTTATCTTACTACCTGTTTCTAGAGCCACAACCGTCCCCACCTCCTCCAGACACTGAAACAGTGAGTGAGTGAGTGTGTGAGTGTGTGGTGTTCAACGCCGGCTTGATCAGGATTCAATTAACTAAAAGCGTGCTACCGAAACGAACCAAGTCCTTAGGTTCTTACTTTACCATAGGTATGACCCTGACAAATCTGTAAACATTATATAGGCGAAACGGGATTTGAACCCAGGGCCTAGATTTTCGAAGCTCTCTGAGCGCTAAGATAGTTAAAGTTAATGTTTGGCACTCGACTATCTTAATCGCTAAGAGAGCTTCCAGAACTCTAGGCCCAGAACTGCAAGGTTCTGTCACGCCTGACAAATCACATACACTGTGGTGCCTAAATATACGACAAAAACATGAACCGTGTGTCTTTGGGTAATTATATACAAGCATTATGTGAGAAAATTTGTCATTACACAGTTACCTGTGCCATGGCTTCTTCGTTTAAAAGTTTGTGATCTAAATGCACTCGTCTAAATATTTTTTCGTCCTCCACTTTCACTTTGTCCCCAAGTTTCAACCGAACGTCATTTGGCTGTACAACATCTGTAAGTGCAAACATGAAAACTATTCATGGAGAACATATTTCTCGGTTAAATGAAATCTTGAAATAAAGTGATAAATTGTCCTCGTCCCCAATTGCTATGGACTCGAGCAATACTCCAATAATAAGCAAGTACAATCTTTTATGGCTCTTTTGTTTACCACAGACGGCGAATATTACAATTATACAAGTGTCAAAGAGTTTTGAGATGATTTGGGGTTTGTTTAAATTAACATTATTTCACTAATACAGCGACATCCATTCATGTGTCAGTGGCTGCCGGAACTATTGCGGGATAACGCTGTTTATTATCGTCCTGATGTGCTACTGTAGTGGATTAGGTGACTTTGTAGAGCTGGCCCACTCAGATTTCACAATATTGTTCCATTGTTGGCTCACTCAGATATCACGATATCTTTCTAGTGCTGGCCCGCTCAGGTGTCACGTTATCTTACTAGTGCTGGCCCACTCAGATATCACGATATCGATCTAGAGCTGGTCCACTCAGATATCACGATATCTTTCTAGTGCTGGCCCACTCAGATATCACGATATCGATCTAGAGCTGGCCCACTCAGATATCATGATATCGTTCTAGAGCTTGTCCACTCAGATATCACGATATCGTTCTAGTGCTGGCCCACACAGGTGTCATGATATCTTTCTAGTGCTGGCCCACTCAGATATCACTATATCTTTCTAGTGCTGGCCCACTCAGAAATCACGATATCGTTCTAGAGCTGGCCCACTCAGATATCATGATATCGTTCTAGAGCTTGTCCACTCAGATATCACGATATCGTTCTAGTGCTGGCCCACACAGGTGTCATGATATCTTTCTAGTGCTGGCCCACTCAGATATCACGATATCTTTCTAGTGCTGGCCCACTCAGAAATCACGATATCGTTCTAGAGCTGGCCCACTCAGATATCATGATATCGTTCTAGAGCTTGTCCCCTCAGATATCACGATATCGTTCTAGTGCTGGCCCACACAGGTGTCATTATATCTTTCTAGTGCTGGCCCACTCAGATATCACTATATCTTTCTAGTGCTGACCCACTCAGAAATCACGATATCGTTCTAGAGCTGGCCCACTCAGATATCATGAGGGCGGTGGGGTAGCCTGGTCGTTAAAGCGTTGGCTCGTCACGCCGAAGACCCGGGTTCGATTCCCCACATGGGCGCAATGTGTTAAGCCCATTTCTTTCTATATTGCTGGAATGGCCCACTCAGTCAGTAAGTCAACCAGATATCATGATATCGTTCTAGAGCTTGCCCACTCAGATATCACGATATCGTTCTAGAGCTGGCCCACTCATATATAACGATATCTTTCTAGTGCTGGCCCACACAGGTGTCATGATATCTTTCTAGTGCTGACCCATTTATATATCACGATATCGCTCTAGAGCTGGCCCACTCATATATAACGATATCTTTCTAGTGATGGCCCACTCTGGTGTCACGATATCTTTGTACTGTTGGCCCACAGAGATCCCATGTGATAGTTTAATATTATGGATAAATCAGAATGACCCTTGAGCCGGATGGGACTCAACACCCAACATATGGAAACTGTACTTTACTGAGGAAGTGTAATCCCAACTATAAGGTATGTTACACCTGATGTACACACATTTTACTTTGACACAATGTGGTGTCTGACATAACTCACCAAGGACAGGGAGATGTTCCTTGTAGTACTTCCAGCCTGGTGAGCCCTTAACCGCCGTGACCTCAACCTTGCCCTTGGCACCGGTACAATACCCCTTAAGATTGCTCTGATCGGCCAACCATCTCACATTGACAGCGCCTCGGGTGTAAACTCCGGCCAACGTGCCCACTTTGACGACTTCACCAGTGTTTCCTTCGCCCCCTGAATTTGGCACATTTGGATATTTTTGCGTCAGTATTTACGTGTTTGTTTCGATGTTCAGATATTTGGCGTGGCTTGTTTTCATAATGTTATATTTTATTTTACTGTTATATCGAGCACACGCACAAACATACGCAAGATTTGATGAAGGTCATTTTCACTAAAATATATATTCAAATGTTCAGTAATTTGACACTGGAAATTATTTTCGCCGGTGCTTTCTTTATATCAAGGTGATTAAACCAGGATTGTTTTAAACATCGCTATACAATGCGGGGTTTGTGTTTTGATCAGTTCAATTCAATGGGCTACTGCAAGTAGATATTTTTACTCCAGATTGAGAGTGCAGTAAGTCTACAGTTTTCTGAACTTGTCATTTTTAATTATTATCACATCTTGTGATGACCCGTTTATAGCAAGCAAAATCCAAAATCCAAGAGAGAAACAATACAGACAGAGAAAGTTTCCTATTAAACTGGAAACCTGACAGACATAGGCTACAGACTTGACCTTCACCGCAAACCATACCACCTTTCATGTTCACACCATGTTTGAGGATGTGAGAATGTGACTTTCCTTCCATGACCGTCGATCGTAAATACGTTTGTTTGTCATTTGAAGATACGACGTTGAATGAAATTATGGACAGATTGCTGACAGATGAAAACCAATACGATGGCAAGGTGAGCTAAAAACTGACCATCTGAATTTCCATGTTTCAACTGAAACCAGTGAGGTCCACGCCTGACTTTTGCCCCCACGAACAGACCTGTAGACTGGATTCTTCGGGTGCTAGACCGAGAGGAAACCCGCTGACTGGAACGTGAATCAGTGAAACATCAGTTAATTATCGACTCACGGTTGAGTTGTATGATAATCTCTGCTAGAACTAAAAACAAACGATTTTTCAGTTCTTGGATTTTCACAAAGCTTATACACAGTACTAAAAACGACTTAAAATTATTCATTTAGCGTATCATTAAACCTCTCGGAAAGTTACTGGCAACTACAGTTAGTGAGTGGGTGGGTGTACATGTGAGTGAGTGAGTGAAGGAGTGAGTTATTGAGTGAGTGAGTGAAGGAATCAGTAAGTCGGTGGTTGGGTGTATAGAAGGGTGGGTGAGATTGGTTTGTTGCTGTGTGAAGAACACTTCGGTTGGGTTACAATCAGTGATGGATCTTCCACCAGCAATATATATAATATGGCCAAAGCATGTTTAAACAATTCACTGATCACATCCATAAATCAGGAATTTTCTGGAACTTCTGCAGCATCAACATCATTATTCATTTTGCAATCTTTAGTTTCTACGTTGCTTGTTCAGCCAAGGGAGACTACTCACAGTGGTGAGTTGTTGGTGACACATCGGAGGAAGGCGTGGCCCGTGTTATGTCGGTCTGTGTTGTAGCATGAAGAACACAGGTCGTAGTCTCGGCATTCCTGGCACTTCCATCTTACTCCTGGGAAGTCGTCATCTCCACACCCGTCGCACGTATAACCGTTTTGTCTAACACCTGTTCAAAGAAAGAGAACATGTTATGGGGAACTATTTGAATTTCTTGAGCTTGGTGCGAAAAACCTGTTCAACAAAAGAGAAGATGACTCAATGTTAGGGGGTGGCTATTTGAATTAATTGAGCTTGGTGCGGACACCTGTACCAGTTCAACAAAAGAGAACATGGCTCAATGTTAGGGGGGGACTTTTTGAATTAATTGAGCTTGGTGGAGACACCTGTTCAACAAAAGAGAACATCGGGCAATGTTAGGCGGTGACTTTTTGAATTAATTGAGCTTGGTGCCAACACCTGTTCAACAAAAGAGAACATCGCGCAATGTTAGGAGGTGACTATTTGACTTAATTGAGCTTGGTGCGGAGACCTGTTCAACAAAAGAGAACATGGCCCAATACTATTGAGTGGCTATCTGAATTAATTGAGCTTGGTGCGGACACCAGTTCAACAAAAGAGAACATGGCTCAATGTTAGGGGGGGACTTTTTGAATTAATTGAGCTTGGTGCGGACACCTGTTCAACAAAAGAGAACATCGCGCAATGTTAGGAGGTGACTTTTTGAATTAATTGAGCTTGGTGCGGACACCTGTTCAACAAAAGAGACCATGGCTCAATGTTAGGCGGTGACTTTTTGAATTAATTGAGCTTGATGCCAACACCTGTTCAACAAAAGAGAACATCGCGCAATGTTAGGAGGTGACTTTTTGAATTAATTGAGCTTGGTGCCAACACCTGTTCAACAAAAGAGAACATGACTCAATGTTAGGCGGTGACTTTTTGAATTAATTGAGCTTGGTGCCAACACCTGTTCAACAAAAGAGAACATCGCGCAATGTTAGGAGGTGACTTTTTGAATTAATTGAGCTTGGTGCGGACACCTGTTCAACAAAAGAGAACATCGCACAATGTTAGGGGTGACTATTTCTATTTCTTGAGCTTGGTGCGGACACATGTTCAACAAAGGGAACATCGCGCAATGTTAGGAGGTGACTCTTTGAAATAATTGGGGTTGGAGCCAACACCTGTTCAACAAAAGAGAACATCGCGCAATATTAGGGGATGACTATTTGAATTTCTTGAGCTTGGTGCCAACACCTGTTCAACAAATAAGAACATGGCTCAATGTTAAAGGACGGCTATTTGAATTAATTGAGCTTGGTGCGAACACCTGTTCAACAAAAGGGAACATCGCTCAATGTTAGGGTGTGACTATTTCAATTTCTTGAGCTTGGTGCGGACACATGTTCAACAAAAGAGAACATCGTGCAATGTTAGGGGGTGACTTTTTGAATTAATTGAGCTTGGTGCCAACACCTGTTCAACAAAAGAGAACATCGCGCAATGTTAGGGGTGACTTTTTGAATTAATTGAGCTTGGTGCGAACACCTGTTCAACAAAAGAGAACATCGCGCAATGTTAGGGGTGACTATTTCAATTTCTTGAGCTTGGTGCGAACACCTGTTCAACAAAAGAGAACATGGCTCAATGTTAGGGGTGACTATTTGAATTAATTGAGCTTGGTGCGGACACGAACACCTGTTCAACAAAGAGAACATGACTCAATGTTAAGTCGTCATCTATTTCAATTCATTGAGCTTAACCGTTTGTCTAACACCTGTTCAACAAAGAGAAGATGGCTCAATGTTAGAGGGGGACTATTTGAATTTCTTGAGCTTGGTGCGAACACCTGTTCAACAAAAGAGAACATGGCTCAATGTTAGGGGTGACTATTTGAATTTCTTGAGCTTGGTGCAAACACCTGTTCAACAAAAGAGAACATGGCTCAATGTTAGGGGTGACTATTTGAATTAATTGAGCTTGGTGCGAACACCTGTTCAACAAAAGAGAACATGACTCAATGTTAGGCGGTGACTCTTTCAATTTCTTGAGCTTGGTGCGAACACCTGTTCAACAAAAGAGAACATGACTCAATGTTAGGGGGTGACTATTTGAATTTCTTGAGCTTGGTGCAAACACCTGTTCAACAAAAGAGAACATGACTCAATGTTAGGGGGTGACTATTTGAATTTATTGAGCTTTGTGCGGATTGGCCTGTGTTTTGTGTCCTAAGAATGGAGAAATGAAAAGTTTGGAAGATTCCGACAAAAATCATTTGTCTAAAATTCAAAGAGAAGTGTTTATTTTAAAGTACTGACTGATGATAAAATTCCCTGCCCACACCAAGAATATTACACGGTTGATCGCATACATTTGACACATCTTTAACATTCTCTCACAAAATGCTTCCTTGGTATCATGGAATGTTTGGCGCAATCGTCTAGACCACCGATATTCGCTGGGACATGTGGACACGACAACCAAAGTTGTGGGTTCGAATCCCAATTTGCTTCTATTAGGTTTTCCAGGAACCAGACCTGTGTTCGTGTGCTTCATCACAGTGGTAATGACCCGGCTTCACTTCGGGCTTTCCCTCATAGCATTCGTACCTCCTATATTACAGTATAGGAGGTACGAGTGCTACGGGAAAAGTTATGAGATCTTAGGTTTACGAGAACTGTGTGAAACAGGGCCCTGACACGTTATATAATTGGAATACTGGTGAAAGCAGCGTTCATCATCACTATTTCACTCACTCACTCCAAACAAATTAATTTGAACAATGGCAATAAGCTTAAATCGAGATTTTACATGAAAACACACACACACACACACACAGAGAATTACTCTACTTATGTATTCTCTGCTGATTACAGCTCTTACATTTTACAGTTGGTCTATGATATTAATTCATGACATATGGTATTACTATATGACAAGGACACGTAAAGATTCTGTTTAGATTGATCTTTAGCAACCCATGCTTGTCGTAAGAGGCGACGAACCGAATCGGGTGGTCAGGATCGCTGACTTGGTTGACACATGTCATCGTATCCCAATTGCGTAGACCGATGCTCATGCTGCTGATCACTAGATTGTCTGGTTCAGACACGATTATTTTCAGACTGCTGACATATAGCTGGCATATTGCTGAGTGCGGCGTAAAACTCACTGTGAGTCACTCACTCACTATATAACAAGACATAATTATTTTACGTTATAGATGCATTATGGCATATATCAGAACTTGAGGCGTTCATGAAGTAAACAAACATTTCCATACATTTGTCATTATTAAAGGTACATTGTATATCATACCTGTAGGACCCGAGTCAAACACCAGCAGCTCGAACTTGCCATCATATCCTGCCCGGTACTGGAACTCTCGACCACTGTCCCAGATAACAGACACTTTGCCTTTTGCCCAATCAGAATCCTCTATCTTCACAACCGTTCCCACGTGACCTTCGCCGCCATCTTGATCTCTCCCCGCCCAGTCGGGACCTCTGACCACTCTGATGCCCGGACATGGGTAGGTAGCGGTCATCGTGAGTGGACACTGTAGAGTCAATGGTATTCTGGAAAAGAGTGAGAATTGAACAATCGCTAGAAGCTCCCATACAATTTCTACCATACGCCTGCACAGGGATAGTCTGCCTCACAGTCCCTGAACCTCATTATTGTCCTTCCGCCCAGCCCTTTCTGCAATGCTAAAGCGCTAAATGACACAAGTCTTGATTCGTTCAAGTTCGGGAAAAAGACAAGACATAAACGGAGCGTAATGGATCCTCCTCCTTCTTAAAACAGACAATATCATTTGTTGGTTACAACAAATAATATGATAATAGATGAACAGTAACTGTTACGAATTTCTTTGAAAGATACTAATACTTGTGCCGCAATTACAAGTCATTAAAAGGAACGGCACGATCACTGTGAATACGTTTGAAGTTACCACAAAGTTTGGCATCGGGTATCATTGTTTTCACACTGACACTTTGAAGGTTACTATAAAGATGTGTCGAGGGGAACTATTTGTTTCGAGTGTGGCCTGTCCTGTTTGTTTTCAAGATATGTACTTAGAAGCGACAAGCGACTTTCCATATTCACAAGAGTGAGTGAGTGAGTATGGTTTTACGCCGCTTTTAGCAATATTAAAGCAATATCACGGCGGGGGACAGCAGAAATGGGTTTCACACATTGTGCCCGTGCTGGCATTCGAACCCGGGTCTTCGGCGTGACGAGCGGACGCTGTAACCACCAGGCTACCCCACCGCCCCTCATATTCACAAGAACTCCCTGCTAAAGGTAGCGTCAATTGTACGATTCCGTCTATAGGGGCATGCATTTATGAAAGAGAATGAAATAGTAATCGTGTGCTCGCTCCTGCACCATCGTCAAAACACACGCAAAGGCGAATAAATCACTTGGGAACATATCGTAGAAGGGTAAATGTGGTATTACCTCGTTCCCGATTGCTGTCACTGCCGCGTCATATTTTTCCTTCCCCAAACCTTTATCCTCCCCTCCCTCTCTCTCTCTCTCTCTCTCTCTCTCTCTCTCTCTCTCTCTCTCTCTCTCTCTCTCTCTCTCTCTCTCTCTGGGCATCTTTCTTCGGCTCACTCTCTCTCTTTTTCGATCTTTCCCCCCTTTCTCAGTCTGTCTTTCCCAAGATCACTCTGTCTTTGTGGATCTCTCCCTTTCTCACATGTTTATGTAGTATATGCCCGTGCTATAAATATTGATATGACCTATTTATATTGATACTAGGCGGGAGCTGCAGTGTATGTGCACAGCTTGTAGATACCGACATGAGACACTGTGTGCAGTGTGCTTTACACTGGTGGTATGTCACGACCCGCTGGGTTGTTGGGAGGTCAGGGCTACACAGCTTACAAGAAATATTGTAATTCTTTGAGAGGCATTTAGAAACTGGTAATATGAACAGGAACAATACTTTATGGATAGACAACTTGTCTTATATCCCACATATATATATTTCTCCCTGTTCATAATGTTATGTATCACTTGCTTGATAACGGTGTTAGCATCTACACCCAAACGTCGCATCCAATGCAAAAAAGAAGTTGTCTATCCATAAAAATATCGTTGTTGTTCAAGAACCATTGTAGCTAAGCAATTGATTGTGCGTACTATATTTACATTTCCATATGATCTCTATATATCCCAGTACACACATTTTAACCATTGATTGGTTGACTGATTGACTGATTGGTTGATTGATGAATTGATTGATCAGTATCATGTGCTACGTCACGCCTCGTCGGGACACAGTGACACAATAAAACCTAGTCACCAAGCTTCACCCCTGGCCTGATCTGGGCCACCCCATTTAGAGTAGTCGCTCTCCCAGAAACGCAGGAATCTGCTTCATCCCCGAGTAGCACTAATGTAGATCTTCCTGATCTTACCTTGAAGCGTTCAATCAGTATGTTGAGGCTGTGATCACTGAAAACCTCTTTGGATTACAGAAATGAATTACAATACACAACAACAACGTCCTTGTTGGGCTCTGTAATCTGACAAAACGAAAGTGAAAATAGGACACTGGCTCTTCGCCAAGAGGGAAAACCCAAAGGATATATACAGACATGCATACAAATCTACTTCCTTGTATTAGTTTTCCGGGGAATAATCCGTATCATAAAACACCCGCGAAAGCAGATCGTTCTTACGGGTCAGAATATTCTGTCACATTGTATAGAAAGCGGACATCAAAAGTATTTTTAGTTGCTGGTCATCCGGTAGATACATCCATAGCCTCTGACAATGTATAACATTTTGATAGAAACAAGCAAGTATATTACAAAGGGGATAGCTGGTGGTATGCGAGACCACTGGAAAATATAGATTTACTTCATTTAGAACTATAGCATTTGAGTAAGGAATATGAGGATGGGACACTACTATGATAACGAGACTATAAAACTGTTGGATGGGACTGGGAGATGGATGCGGGGGTGCGGTGGGGTTTAGCCTAGTAGTTTAAGCGTTCGCTCGTCACGCCGAAAGCCCGGGTTCGATTCCCCACATGGGTACAATGTTTGAAGTCCACTTCTGGTGTCCCCCGCTGTATTGTTGGAATATCGGTAAAAGCGGCGTAAAACATAACTCACTCAATACTAATCGACGTATTGTGTACATGTGAGATTTAAGACGTGCTCGAGTGACTATTTTTAGTGTTGCTACAATTATAACCCAATAACAATATATTTCATTAAGCTCGGTTCTCTCGAAACAATTAATAATTGAATTTGCTGTGGATGGCCCACACTGTCTATCATATATAGTATGACCAGAAATTATGGAGACTTTTGGACAACCTTGACCAGCTATCAAGTGCTTGGTTTCATTCAAGAGACACAGCTCCGTTAATCCTTTTTCATTAGTTTGTGAAAATTTATCCCCCTTTGTTTAGTTGCTAACAGACGACATTTTCAGTGATCCTCAGTATGGATGATTTTGAGAAGAAGAAGTTGATTTTAGAGTATTATAACAAGGACATCAGATCAGCTAAAGTGATTTCAAGTAGAACAGGCATCCCTTTGTCCACTGTTTATCGTGTTTTGAGAAACATTGCAAATGGATATGGCATTGAGCACCAGGGAGGCGCAGGTAGGCCCAGAAAATTGACTGTCGTTGACAGGAGGTGGCTTGGTATTCTTGTTTCTAAAAATATCGAAGGAGTTTAGAAAACTTACGGCTGGATATGATTAATAGAGGAACTGTGGCTGTCTGTAAAGAGACAATTAGAACTGAGCTGTATGCAATGGGTTGGCAGAAAAGTCGAGGAATTCCATCACCGATCATGAAAACTGAACAAAAAGAGCGAAGGTTGAACTGGTGCTTACAGCATAGAAATTTTAACTGGGACAATGTGATTTTCTCAGATGAAAGTTCTGTGTGGCTGTGTCCTATTACACTGAAATTCTGGACCAAACAAACTGAAAAACCTTTGTATCAGCGCCCAAAGTACAGTCCGAAATTTAACATGTGGGGTGGCATATCTGTGTTAGGGGCAACACCCCTCTGTGTATTTGAAGGGAATATGAACAGTGAGCGGTACACAGATATTCTCGAGGGACATTTACTGCCATCTGCTCACGTGTTCTATGGAAACTTTGAATTTTCCAGCAGGACAGCAACGACCTAAATCCAATAGAAAATGTTTGGGGACTTATGAGGAAAGTGTCAATAAGAAAAATCTTACAAATACTGCTGAAATGAATGAAGAGGTGGTCCGATATTTGGACAGCGTTGACCACGACTTTCTAACTTCTTTGATCAGTAGTATGCCCCGCCGCATTGAAGCCTGCATTGCTGCCCATGGTGACTTGACAAACTACTAACTGTTCACCTGTCTTTGAATCTGGAGTTATGTTCTGCTAATATTCACATTTAATACGTGAGTAATGAGTGAAAAAAATATACAAAAGTACAATCTTTAAATTCTCAATAATTTCTGGTTGTACTGTATATATAAAGCATCATATAGGACGTGACCTTACACAGGACATGCTCGTCTCCGACCGACTGAAGGTAGGGCAGGGGAACCCAACGTCGCTCTGCAGAGTTGTGTCCCTTAGACGTGATAGGCTCCGTTAATTCTATATTGACATTAAAATATGATGGCATTTTTGTCAGCGCCATGCACGCCGCTTTCACGGTGAGGCAAAAAAGTATAAAAGTTCATAACCTTCCTAACTGAGTATGTTGCCTTACCCTGAAATTAATTCCAAATTTCAAGAATGTGTCATGAAGATGTATTTCGGAATGTACTCCACTTCACAGACCCGTTTAGATCAGTGTTAGTAACGTTTCTTAGAAAACCATACTAATCGTAAGAAGCGGCGAATGGGTTATCAGGCTCGCTGACTCGATTGACACATGCCATCTTATACAAATCCTTCCCAAACTGTCTAAAAAGTTTCCTGTTTAATCAAGCATATGAAATGTAAATTATCTACCCTATTCAGCGCCACTGAGCAGCTCAAATTTGGAAAATAGGCGCTATACAAATTAATTATTATTATTATTATGTTTTACAGATTAAAGATAATGTGCAGCAGAGAGGGTTCGGGTGATCCTGGCACAGTCAGGCTGGTAAGGCTCATCATCAGCTCAGGGCCCTTGCCCCCTCTACATACAGCCAAGACAGCGAATGGGACTTCTCCCAGGAAACGCTGCCTAGTTGAACCCACCAAGAACTGCTGGAGAATATGAAGGCTCCCCAACACTGCAGCCTTCTGCATTACCCAGAGTGTCAGAAGGGCTGTGCTCCCGGTGGAGAAACCGGGCACTCTCCTGATCTGCGCCAAGAGATCAGGAGGTACCAAACCAAGGGCACCGAGAACAACGGGGAGCCTGACGACAGTGTACTTGGGATGCAAGCGAGACATTTCAAAGGCGAGGTCCGCATATTTATCATGCTTTTCCTGAATCTTGTCAATCATATTCCTGTCAAAAGGGACAGAAAATTCAATTATATAAATAAATTCATTGGCTTTATCAAAAGGACAAGATCAGGTTTGTTGGCTGGAATTCTCCTCAGGCTGTATATGGGCCTATTCCAGAGAAGTTTGAAAGCATCATTTTCCATGACGCCCTGGACATGTTCAGGGTCGTACCATGGATGGAACTCGGAGTCAAAGCCACAGGCATGTCGGAAACGGTAGTAAAAGCAACGAACCATGCCATCATGTCGTTTAAGACATGCTGTTTGTGCCAAGGAAGGGCATCCACTGACAAGGTGTTGGACAGTCTCTGTGAATTCATTGCAAAGTCGACATTTCATGCTGATATTTTCTTTAAGAATCACATTTAGGCGATTACGAGTTGGAAGTGACTGGTCCTGGGCAGCAAACGGGAAGCCCTCAGTTTCACATTTAAGACCAGCCGACTTCATCCAGGCGAAGGAGTCGGTGGGATTGCTCTTCTGTTCCACACACTGCATGTACACACGATGCAATGGCTTCTCAGAAAGATTCTCCACAAAAGACCGACTCTGGGCAGAGTTGGTGAAGGACTTCACCTGGTTTACTCCGATCGCTGTACCGTCCAGCAGTACATTGCCATGAGCAAAGTCAACCTCAAATTTCAGATTCTGTCCAACGATTCTTTCATGAAGAGCCTCCACATTAATCAAACCCCGACCACCAGAATTGACTAGCATATATAAACGGTTAAGAGAGGAATGAGGGTGGTGGGCTCTGTTATCAGACATGATCCTTCTGGTCAGGCGGTCAAGACTCTGGATGTCTTGTTTCGTCCAATCAACTACTCCAAAGGAATAGGAGAGGACTGGCACAGCAAAAGTATTGGTGGCTTTGACCTTGTTTCGAGCATTTAGCTCTGAGCTCCAGATTTTCTTTAAGCGAGATTTGTACTCGGCCCGAAGTTTGCCTTGAATTTGGGCATTCTGGAGTTTGTCTCGAACTTGCATTCCAAGATAGGTGTAGGCCTGATCTTCCACAAGATGCTCAATAACTCCTCCCCCTTGTAACTTGACCGATCCATCATTAACTACCTTGCCACGTTTCAAATGAAGAGTATTACATTTGCCGAGTCCAAATGTCATGCCAATATCATTAGAAAAGGACTCGACAAGATTATTATTATTATTATTATTACAAAATTGCGTTGATCGATGTTCATAATGTCAACCACTGGATTATCTTGTCGAGATTCGATTATGAAGCACCGTCATTATACTGGAAATAAACAAACAACAATATTTAAAAGAGGGAGTGATTGAGTTTAGTTTTACGCCGCACTCAGCGATATTCCAGCTATATGGCGGGGATCTGTAAATAATCGAGTCTGGACCATACAATCCAGTGATCAACAGCATGAGCATCGGTGTACGCAATTGGGATCCGATGACATGTGTCAACCAATTCAGCGAGCCTGACCACCCGATCCTGTTAGTCGCCTCTTACGACAAGCATGAGTTACTGTAAATCAATTATCGTATAGTATCTGTGTTATTTGAGGGCTTGCATGACAGTGACTGAGTTTAGTTTTACGCCGCCTTTGGCAATATCCCGGCAATATCATGGCGGGGGACACCAGAAATGGTCTTCACACTTTGTACCCATGTGGGGAATCGAACCCGGGTCTTCGGCGTGACGGGAGTACGTTTAACATTTCACATGGAAGATATCTATCTGCACATACTCTCACAATAAGAGAGAGAGACAGAGAGACAGAGAGAGAGAGACAGAGAGACAGAGACAGAGAGACAGAGAGAGACAGACAGACAGACAGACAGAGAGACAGACAGAGAGACAGACAGACAGAGAGACAGAGACAGAGGGACAGAGAGACAGACAGACAGAGAGAGACAAAGAGAGAGACAGAGAGAGAGACAGAGAGAGACAGAGATAGACAGAGAGAGAGAAAGGGAGAGAGAGAGAGAGACAGAGAGAGAGAGAGAGAGACAGACAGAGAGAGACACAGAGACACAGAGAGAGAGAGAGACAGAGAGACAGAGAGAGAGAGAGACAGAGAGAGACACAGAGAGAGAGAGAGAGAGAGAGATTTTGTTGTGTGTGTGCAT